TTTTCAGTACAAATCGGCAATTTCATACTTTAACCCCTATTACTATTGCGACACTCATAAAAGCAAAGTTTCAGGGATATAATAACAAATGACGGATACACACACACACACACACACACACACAAACGTACACACACACACACACACACACACACACACACACACACACACACAGGCAGATACACACTGACACAGGAACACACACACAAACACACACACACACACAGAGAGAGAGAGACATGCAGACACACACACAGCCACACACGCAGACACACAGACACACACGCAGACACACACACGCAGACATTATAAACCCGGTTCGGTTTCAATCATAGATTTAGTATATAGGTACCCATAGATTGGCAATGTAAGTGAAAGAGCGTTAGTATACACGTATGTTAGAGCGAGATGTGTAGACGAGACCACTTCATTATACGCTATGAGCCTGTATGAACCTAGGGTCAGCTGACAACGAAACAAATTTCGTTTATTTTTGAAAAATAATTGGTTTTAAAATGCGAAATAGTGTTACACGGACGTTTATTAGTCATGGTAAAGTGTTCAGTGCCCGGATGTAACTCATCTAAAAAGGAAAACTCGCAGAATTGTATATTTCACATGTAAGTACTATTTAAATTTTTAGCTGTCCACAAACAGTACCACTAAAAATTTTTACATAAATATATTCATAAAATTATACCATTCAAGTGCATTAATAACCCAAATGTATATGAATTCAATTAAAAAAATATATCAAATACGTGAATTTCTGAAATTCGTAACCCCACTTTCATAGAGATTGACGCAATCGATAATATGTTATCGAGATGTCATTAACTGAAAAAAAGAAAGGCAAAGGCGTGACTTGCATACAGCCGAAATCATCTCCGTACTTAATATTATTGAATCAGAAATTTCTGGTTTTAGTACTTTATATTTAATTAATATTGCATTAATGCATTATTTTTTGTCTACATTAAAACGAAAATTTCTTTAAATAGCGTAGTTGAGGCACCCATTTTTTTATGTTAATTATTGTTGTTGATACAGATTTCCTCAAAACTTTGAAGTAGGACAGAAATGGCTTATAATGCTAAAGAAAGAAGACTGGGTTCCCAAAAAGTTTTAAAAAATATGCAGCAAACAGAATTGTATTGTAATAAGCCTCTTTGCTTTTCGCTCCACCGAGTCCAATGCAGCTAACTGGTAATGGGCAGAGCCATCCCAAAGGTGGCAGCAGTACTCCATACAAGATCGAACTAGTGCTTTATACAGATGTAATTTATTTTTGTTTTTATTATAATTAATTCAATTTTTGACTTTCCTTGTTTAATTTTCTACCCTCACAGGGAAAATGAAACTAGGGAATCGAACCCGGTACAACTAATGCTGTCAAATCAGAAACGTAACGATTTTGAAAATTTGTTACATAAGTGTTATTATTATTAGCTTTTGTACATTAACTAACCAAGGGAATTCATCCATTTAATCATCATGTCATTTGTTAGTTCCTTCAGTTTGAACTCCCTTTCCCACTCTGGAGCTTCGAATTGACTGACATGTGATATATTGAAGTCAGTATTTGCCCTGAAATAAAAATGTCGGAATGTAACTGTAAGGGAAACGTTTCGTGCATCGAGTATGTAACCAGAAATGGAGATGAAATAAGGGTCATCCATCCCTGGCAAATCGTCAGGCGAATGGGTCTTATATCGCTTTTAAACTTTCGTTTTGTGCTGAAATCACAAATTAAAAAACTGAAATAGTACAGCGCCATCAATTGACCTGTGTGTACGTCTCCGTATATTCCAAAAATATTCTGTTTTTATTGTAATAAAGATAATATCTCTAACAATGCCGTGCTGTTCCATTCGGTGGTGTGGGGAAAAACAAGAAAACATTTAATTACCAAAACAAACGGAATCAAATTTCATAGGTAATTAAATATTAAATATGTAATTTTGCAATTTTCGTCCATTATATCTCAAGTTAACTGGTCGATTTGAAGTAAAACAATCGAAGACCCCCGTCAATTGTTTCGAATTAGGGTTGACCAATCGGAGCGCAGTTGTCACCGTAATGATATGGCAGAATAGTTTTCAAACAAATTAAATGACATTTCGTCTCTATTTCTGGTAAGTATACTCGATGGTCTCGACAGACCTACTTGAGGTCAGTCCGCTATTTTTGCTGTGTGTGGTATGGTTGTATCATTATTTAGCGCAATTTTTTTAAAATAATAGAAAAATGCCTTATGCTGTTTCGGAGTGCAACAATGGTAGCTGCACCAAAAACATTATCATCATTATATATATATATATATATATATATATATATATATATACTTTTTACATTGAAATTGTAATTATACAACAGCCTGAGGAGAAAGCCCTAAAAACCATAAATATATTTTTGTTTATATCTATACATTTCATTCTACGTCAAAATTGGCTACAGTATAAACAAAACACTTACAAACACAAAATTTTCGGGAAAAATACCATCACGGATCTGATAAACACGCCGGTCAAATACATCAGCATTATCAAGACGAATGTAAAAACCATTTCGTCAATACAGTTGATTGTTTTGTTGCAATGTAAATACATGAATTGGTTTATAAATAAGCTAGTAAAGTTTAACTTGTAAAAAGGCAAACTAATGTTCAACATTGAGTTCCAATGGTCAAGAGGATGCCGGAAAAAGCGACCCTGAAACAGATATGCACATAAGTTAATCCTTAGCTAGCTTGACCTTAAGACGAGTCAATGGAGGAGAAGCGAAAAAAACTGTTTAGCTAGATCGACTGGTTTAGATATTTACTATTAAATAATAGTCTTTTAAAAAATATACGATTACATTTAAGGATATTGTTAGCAACGACACCTAGTGAGCCTCTGCTAACACTACGCCGCTGCACTGTCACACTCCGGACACTCCATACTACGGTCGAAAATTATTTACTTACTACTACTACATACAGCAAGGTGCTATCTGCACACGCGCAAATGTGTGCAGGGTTACCCATCACTTGCTCGTACTATTACGTTACGTGGTCAGAGTGGCAACACAGCGAAAATTCTAACGCGAATCCGTTATCTATAATTCTACTAATAGAATCCTAATAATTACACATGTCCATTACGCATTTATATCGATATTATATTATATTTTTCATTAATTCATTAACTAGAACAATATTGAAGATTTATTTAAACATTAAAAGCACTTACATTGTTATATTTTGGACAGATACCTTTAAATAAGGTAGTACCAAAGTATTTGAAATGGCGTGTCCAACTTTATCATTACCTAGTTAATAATTAGAAATATTCACTACGTAATATTTATCGGCAATACAAATTGAAAATCCGAGAGCCCTTGTCTAGCTCAGGAAATTATGGCGTCTTATTATATTGATATAATGAATCTGTATTATATATTACTCCGCGCTTAAGAAAACAATAACTAAATGAGTCTCAGACATAAGTTTTTTAACTTACTTCGTTTCATCTTTCAAAAAACGAAAGAAACTAATCTCTTTATCCCGTTTAGATGATTATAAACAGCCGTACACAGCACAAATCACGACCATTATAAATAGTAACGTAAAATGATGTTATATATTAACGTACAAATTTCGTAATAAATGAAAACTATATTCAAATATCAAAGCTGTCTTTCCTCGTACCAAGGTTTAACAGATATTGTCTAAAAAAGTCGTTACAGCTTCGCAGAGATATAGCGTCTCTTAGCGTATTCTATCGCCTGTACCACGGTGAGTGCTCTGAAGAGTTATTCAACCTTATCCCTTCCTCTCCTTTCCATCAGCGGACCAACCTTGCCGGACTGCGTTGCCACAGTTGGACGGTCAGTTCAATACCGTCCCGCACTAAAAAGTTTGGCAATTCGTTTTTATGCCGAACCATCAAATTGTGGAACCAACTCCCGGCGCATGCATTCCCTCCCCTCTATAACATCGGGTCATTCAAACGTAGTGTGAAGAAGCATTTGGCCAGACCGGCAAAATGATAGTGACGGAGTGAAGATATTTGTGTTTTCCATCCGTTACTCTCATCTCTGGACTGTATTCGCACTTTCCATCAGGCGCGGTGCAGTCATTTTGCCGAGTCACAATAAAAAAAAAAAAAAAAAAAAGAATGTGCTAATTCGTTACACGATACTATATACTTTATCACATAAAATCCTGAAAACAGGCTGAGTTAAAAATCTAAAATGAATTATTTAACAATAAAATATCTAACTTTGTAAAAAAATTTTTATAAGAAGATATTTCTCTTTAAGTACTATAGAGAACCTGCTAAATTTTTATTTTCCACTGAAGCCCTGTACTCATTTATCTCAAAATTTGTAAAATGCCCAGCGGTTTAATCACGCCACCCGCTGCCCGTCAGTCGACATCTTCTCGACGTCGAGTTTGTCCGCCAGATCTTATTTTATTCATACTAATTTTTAGCGCATGGATTGCGTGACACCAGTGGCGGTCCCCCACACCTCACCTACGGTGTAGGCTAAATCCATCGAGTATGTAACAAAAAATAGAGACGAAATAAGGCCATCCATCCCTTGGCAACTCATCAGTCAAATGGTACTGATATCACTATTAAATATCAACTTGCGTTTGCGCTGAAATCACAATTTAGAAAGCTGAAATAGTGCACCGCCAATAACTGACCTGTGTGTATATCTCCGTATATTCCAAAAATATTCTGTATTTATCATAATAAAGATAATAATCTCTAACAATGGGGGCTGTTCCATTCGGTGGTGTGGGAACAACAGCAAAACATCTAATTACAAAACAAACGGAAACACATTTCATGGGTAATTAAATATTAAATTATGTAATTTTTTAATTTTCGTCCATTATAGCAAAGCCCAAGTTTTTGAAGTGAAACAATTGACGACACTCGTCAATTGTTTCGAATTCGAGCTGACCAATCGGAGCACAGTTGTCAAAGTAATGATATGGCAGAATAGTTTTCTAACAAATCAAATGCCATTTCGTCTCTATTTCTGATTATATACTCGATGGCTAAACCCCAAGATGTAGAAAAAACTAGATCTAAACATGCACTGTAGTGGATGTTATGAAAAGATAAGCGGTCATTATGCTGCCGAAGTCACGTAAATTCAAGACCATGGTCACGGTTGATTGATGTGGTACAGTTTTCAACCAGTTATGTCTAATATTGATGAAGTAAATGAATGTTTTCTTTGTAAAATTAAAAATAAGGTATTTAATTAATAACTATTGTAACTATAGTGAAAAAAATAGGGTGGTTTGCTTCAATATTAGATATAACTGGTTGAAGACCGTACCACCTCAGTCAACCGTGACCATGGGACCCGAAACGTCGGTTGTTTGAAAAAACAAATATACGCGATTTAAATCCGGAAAAATAGTTTCATTTCCTAATTAAATTAAAGTTATATACCGAAATACCGCAGTGGAATAAGAACAAGTATGGTAAGTCCGTACAAACGTCGCAGCGCGACTTGTATGTGTGCGCGCTCGCCCGTCGTGTACGGATGCACACATATCTATAATTTAAGGATGCCCTACCGTTGCACAACACTGGTCGTCTCAACGCGATTTTGTACGTGAGTACGTCTGTACGCGTACAAGTCATGCGACTGATGGTAAACGACACGCCTGGTCATAACAGTTGTAGTGTCACTCAGAGCTTTAAAACACAAAGATCAGAGGGGGCACTGCAATTGCGCCCATCACCCTGAGACCTGAGAGTTACCCTTCTTGTTTTATTCTACTATGGTACTACTGGTAGGTTTCCTCTAAAATAATATAGGCCCCTTGACGAGTCATCAGTGTGACTTGGAGATTGCACACGTTTCCTAAAAGCTTTATGATTGCTCTCTGTCAAACACATTTCTTTCCCATGTTTTTCTACAAATTAGCGAGTACGTATATACAACGATTTCGTACCTTAATCCAAAAGACGAAAACGAGCGCAGGGCAGTTAAACAACAAACTGTAGGCAAAAAGTCTGTAGGATAAAGATCGCTCATAATTCTTAAATAATCTGTGGTTCTCCCATCTTGTCAACATAGGTGAAAGGCCAATAAATATCTGCAATTACAAATAAACAAACATTAATAGGACATGACAACCTCGGTGGCCAAACGTCTGCATTAAGGACGTAGTAGGTCACAGGTTCAATTCAAGAAAAGCCAATTCAAGTTCATCAAATCTACAGAAGCCTGTGTGGAAATCCGTGAATCGACTTCATACTCGGGTAGGTTGCTGCAAAGACAAGATGTGTAAATGGGGGTTCAGGGATGCTAGTGTACCCCGACGCGTCTGCGGTGCCCCAACACAGTTTACAACAGCTGTTTTTGCTATTTTTGCTATTGTGCCCCTTGTGTCCTGATCTCTGTCCGTGAATATCTCTACGCTGTCACGGAAAGAGCATTTAAGGTGGCAACATACTAGTCAAAGTCAATGTAGTCCCAAAATTATAAGACACGTCGGCACGGCAAGAAAGTCTATTTGAAATTTAGATTTCTTTGTTAATATATTGTTGATCATATACATAATAATGTTATGGATAACAGGGCGGCTGTATTGCAGGGTTGACAAAGTCGGGCTGTATTGTCTATACCTAACTAAAAATAGTAAAAAAGTAACGCTTTAAGAACTGTATAATGCCATCTGTTTCTTTTTTCATGTTCCGAATTGTCTTATCATAATATAATGTTGCAGTACCTACTTAATGTTATTTACATTCAGAGAATTTTAACTGTCAAAAAAAAGTATGTAATAATAAAATCTATTAAAATTATTATTATATATTGTTTTCAATTATTTCGCCACATTATGAAGAAAAAAAAACTGAGTCTTGATTGTCATGTTGTGAATTCGGAATTATAGTCTAGTGTTAGCTGTTAGTGTCGCTGTCATAATTATATATTACGAAATAAACATCGCGTCTTTTTAACGATAAATTGTTATGTACTATTAAATAAAAAATAAAAAGAAATATTGAAGAAAATATGTAAATAAATTAGTTCACCTTTTATTAATAATATTGTATAAGAAAACAATATTGTTTCCATTGCATCCGTGTAACTATTTTAAGATTGCTAAATTTGACATAAGAGCAATATTACTTTAATGTTAAAGTCGCGTCATAGTACGAACTGAGTGAATGAATAGTCGCAAAGCTTCCAATAAAACTCATAATGCCAATAAAAATCATAGTTTTAACATTATTTATTATTAAGCGCGTCATGGTACGAAAAGTCAGTGTAAGGTTATAGTATTGTTGTTTTAAGAGGTTGTAGTAGGCCCTCAGGTCGATGGCTAGCCACTGACAAAACATTACATTTAACAAAATTATTTTCCATCGACACACAACAGAGGTGATTTAAAATTAATACACTTGGAGCTCAGTTTAATACGTACCGATTCAAAGATAAATAGCATAATGTACATCTGCGGCAAAACTATAAATTGTGCTAAGTAGTCCCTGAACGAGAGCAGCTTCGAAGAGTTTTTAATAATATCCTTCATGAGAAATGAATGGTTCTTCATAATTCTGATGCCGTACGCGTATGAAAATGTCGTATATCCTATTGCTACAATGAGCTGTGGAAAAAAATAAATTTTATTCGTACAAAAATCTAATAAGTCTATAGTGAAGTATACATAGGCAGTGCCTCTACCATGAGATGGCAGCATCAAGTATATAACCAGAAATAAAGACGAAACGTCATTTAATTTGTTTGAAAACTATTCTGCTAAATCATCACAGTGACAACTGCGCCGGAACTCGAAACAATTGACGGGTTTCGTCAATTGTTGCACTTCCATTCGACCATTTTAACTTGAACTTTGCTATAATGGACGAATATTGCAAAATGACATATTTAATATTGAATTACCGATGAAATGTAATTCCGTTTGTTTTGCTATTAGATGTTTTGCTGCTTTTCCTACACTACCGTATGGAACAGCCTCCATAAATACAGAATATTTTTAGAATATTTTGAGACGTACACGCAGGTCAGTGGTTGGCGCTGCACTATTTAAGTTTTCTAATTTGTGATTTCAGCGCAAACGAGATTTGATATTTAAACGTGACATAAGACCCGTTTACGTGATGAGCTGCCACGTATGTATGCCCTGATTTCGTTTCTATTTCTGGTTATATACTCGATGGATGACAGTAACAGTTACTCGTTAGAGAAGGCGTAAAATATTTGTATACAAAATATTGTTTCTTCTTGTGACCGCTAGGGTCACATATAATTTGTGAAGTAATTTACGCGATCGCCGGCAACAACTGTCATAGCTATCTCGTAGTAGAGGCACAGACTGAAATTAAATGTTCTTTATTTTCTTTTCACAAAACAGGCTTAAGAGAGATTACACACGGCGACCTTTAGCAGCGATGTTACTGTTAGTAGCGAGTTTTGGCCGAAGGGTGCCTTTAAATCGGCGATTCAGCGGCCGGTTATCTGACACCAGATTATGCCACACGTTGCCAACAAGTGCAATTCGTGTAGAGTAGTTACTTAAGTTTATTTCTCCACGAAAACACGAACAGAAGGTTCTCAGTCTTTTTGAAGGAGCTGATGCTTGTTGGCTTAACACCTGCGCTATAAGTCACCAGGCCCTCACCCATGGGATTGATATATTAATATATATATATATATTAATATATAATATATATATAGTGGATAATCCACAGACATATATCTAGATAGACGCCGCAAGCGTACGTACTTCGCGTGCCCAAAGTAAAATACAGACACTTAGCTGCTGCTGCTAAGCTCCAGAAACTCGTTTTCGTAGACAAAGACCAGTCGAAAACACGAGAAATGCCTAATTGTGCCTAGTGGGTACTAATGTAATGTGGCACACTTGGTTTTCATAAAAATTGCTGTTTTTGCGGTGTCTATCTAGAGATATGTCTGTGACACTATCTTATGGCATTATTAAGAAAATATCAAACATTGTAAGCGAGACACTAAATGTGAAAAAAATTTAAAATTATGCGTGCATATGTGCGTGCGTGCGTGCATGCGTGCATGCGTGCATGCGTGGCTGCATGTGTGTGTAAGCGTGTGTGTGTATATAGTAATCCTAAAAGATCAACACTTTCTTTATATATATGTTAGTCTTTAAGTTACATGTTACATAGAGTGCACCATAAGTTTCCGGAACTGGCCACTTACATAAACAATATTTAAAAAGTAATTAGAACATTTGAAAATGGAACTCTTTGGCTGTAGAATACAGTTTGTTTCATCTGACTGTCACTTGTTTTTACATTGTGGCGTCATTTTAAAAATTGGTTGTCTATATTACCATGGATTTAACTCGTGAAAATTTTGGAAGAATAATTGTCTACGACTTTAAGTGTAATCTAACAGCTCAGCGGAGCATCGCTCGGCTTCAAACTACTTTTGGCGACAAAGCACCAAGCAAGCAAATGTCAGTGACGAATTTCGTGATGGTCACCCTTCCACTGGTGTGAACAACAAAAACATCGACGCTGTGCGCCGTATGATCAAAACAGACAGGCATGTGACATACCCAGAGATTCGGGCATCTTTAGGCATAGGCATGAGTCAAATACAATGAATACTACACAAACATTTGGGTGTGAAAAAGCTGTTTATCAGATTCAACAAAGGAGCGTCAAATTTGGTGTGGGATATAGTAACAGGTGACGAAACATGGATTTATAGTAACGATCCCAAAACAAAGCAGCAATCGAGCGTATGGGTCTTTCGAGATGAGTCGAAACCAACCAACGTGGCGCGCGTGCAAAGTGCCTCTAAGCGTAAAACTGGATACGTGGCTACTGTTGCTTTGGGGAATCGTTGTACCTTGAAAAGTGATTAGTACACGACCGTTTGTTTGTCGGAAGTTATTGACAAACTCGGTAAAAATGTATCATCTTGCACCACGGCAATGCCAGTTCTCACACGGCCAGACAGACAAATTAATTTTTGAAGGTGAGCAACGTTGACCTTATGAGCCATCCCGCGTACAGTCCCAACCTGACACCTTATGACTTTTATTTACTTTCAAAAACTAAGAACCAGTTACGCAGTCAACGATTTTCATCACCTGAAGAGGCTGTCGAAGAGTATGAAAAATATGTTTCAGAGATTGTCACGGAGGAGTGGCATAAACGTTTTCAAAATTGGTTCATTCGTATGAAAAAGTGTATTAACCCTAACGGAGAATATTTTGAGAAACAATACATTCATTTCTGATCATTTGTAGTATTTTTTTCTTATTAATTCCGGAAACTTCCGTTTAAACCATGTGCATATTACAATACAAAATGCGCGAAATACAGTCTGAACGAATTTTTCGAAGACAAAGTGATATGATATTCATTACATGTTAAATATATAATAATAATAGTTAGCCTATTATAAGCAAAACCCCTCTTCAGCCACCGCACTTCTGAATGTTCACTATAACGATCCTGCAAAGGTAAAATGTCTGAGTGCGTTTCGAAAATATTTCCATATAACAAATAAAATTAGAGTTGAGTTTTTTCCTTTAAAATAGTTTTTTTGTTATGCAAGGCTGCAATGTTGTTGCTTGACGCGAGTGCTAGTATTTGTGTGTAATTTTTCTTTATTTTTGCTTTATTTCTCTAATTAATTAATTTCTTTTCATTCTGTTTTTATTTAACAAATTTGATAGGTAATTTTATTTCAAAATTTCAAGGCTCAGATTTATAAAACTAACTTAAACTTCGACTAAGCAAAGAAGGCGGGCTTAAATAAAGTTTATTTGTTGCTTAAATTCTGACAAAATTCGTTTTATAAATTCTACAATTTCAGCCTAAGTTAAATCAAGTATAAGTGGTCGGGGATAATATGGACTGTTTTAGCACTTACAGCTACTGCACAAAGAATCGGCGCAATCAAAAATTTGTGTATTAGCGCCGTTACAGTGGGACGTACTCTCCAGTAGCCGGTTAATTTGTGCCTTTTTGCAGTCCTGTAGTTGACATCGTATTCTGGTCTGTGAAACATAGAAAATTCAACTTTAAGAACAGTGTTACACTTTGGAAATATTAATATTTTCTCGAATCTAAAATCGCATTTTTTTCATACAAACCAATGCTTTGGATTCCTTACAAGCCCGATGGTCACGGTTGACTGACTTAGTATTCTTTATTAAAAATAAATTCTAATAGTACTTTATGTGACTGTTACACATCGAGTATATAACCAGAAATAGAGACGAAATAAGGGCCATATATTCCTGGTAACACATTAGCGATACAGCTCTTATAAATATCCCAAAAATATTATGTATTTATTGTTATGTATTTAATGTTAGGCGCTATTTATGAAAATGAATCTTCATGCGTGAACAGCTACCCTTCGAGGTTGATGATTTTCCTCAAAATGAAATGGAACCACTATGGAAGTACCCCCTTTCCAACAAAAAAATAATCATGAAAATCGGTTCACAAATACCGGAGTTATCGCGTAACATACATTAAAAAAAAAAAAGAACAAACTGACGAATTGAGAACCTCCTCCTTTTTTTAAGTCGGTTAAAAACAAACGGAATCACATTTCATCGGTAATTAAATATTAAATATGTAATTTTGCAATTTTCGTCCGTTATAGCAAAGCTCAAGTTAACTGGTCAAGTTGAAGTGAAACAGTTGACGACACTCGTCAATTGTTTCGAACTCGGGCTAGCCAATCGGAGCGCAGTTGTCACAGTAATGATATGGCAGAATAGTTTTCAAACAAATGAAATGACATTTCGTCTCTATTTATGGTTATATACTCGATGCTGTTAGGTAATGAAAGGCGTTAAATACGTGTGTGGGATAAAAACATCACACGAGTGTTTTAATGCCTAATTATGTGCAGTTACATACACTGCTTTGTCTATACCTATACACATATTATAAGGTCTCTATGATGTATTCAGGAACCGCATGTTGCGATTGGCGAAATGGCGGCAAATAAAAACTTTTCTCACGCATGTCACACAACCGTAGTTTTTATTTATTCATAGACAAACTAGACTCTGCCCCAACTATCATATCGTTCGATATTTAGTAACATCTGAGATTTATCAAAATTGTTTGCTATTGACATTTCATTTCGAATAAAACTTCATGATCTCGATGACTTTAGTAACACGTAAAAAATAATTCTCTCCAATTATTTTATATATAATATTTCCACTTTTCTATTATATTCGCGTTAACACTGTTAGTTCGTATTATTTCCCACAGATTTTAAACATCGCAGGACTTTATTACTTGAACCGCTGCCGCCTGCGCTCTTGGATAATTCAGATACCTGCCACATTGCTTGCCAAAATCTATAACGATACCTTATAACAGGGTGCCTAGGTTTAGTCGTGATCTCCCACAGCCATCTCCAGTAGTTCTGTTTCTTTCTCCAGAAGAAGAATAATAGAAAACCTGCAACAAAGAAATCATATTGACAAATATCGATTCAGAAACCAATAAATCGGTTTCATTCAGCTGTTTATGTGTATTTTTTAATTATTTTTTTTGGGTTCCCAACACGTATGTGCGCATACATTTATCGGTATAGCTCTGCGCATGCGGCAACTTACTTAGCCACGTGTTGTACTTTAGTTTTAACACGTAATTCACACTTATTCCACTTAGTACATAATCGACTGTTCACCGATATACTACATCAAGGAAAGATTTGCAACTATAAAGCTGCGATTCCACCAGAGATGCTCGAGGTAGCTAGACGGTGTGCGAGGAAAAATCCACCTATAAACTTACCTCATTTTTCTAGTCTCACTTAGCGCAGCTCTGGTGGTAGGGGGCTAGAGGAGTTACATATTTGTAGGTACAAAAAAGCGAGAGATATGTTCGAGAGATGGCTTATTCCCAGTTGTCACCATTATTAGCTTTGTGCCTACTGGCGACAAATGGGAAAAAAAATCACATGTTACCAGGTGGTGACAAACGAGATAAAAAAATGTCAGTTGGTGCCAGTCGTGATTTCCACTGGCGAAAAATGGGAAAAAACCCTAATGTTACCAGGTGGTGATAAATGAGATAAAAAGATCTGTTATTGCCACTGGCGCTGAATGAATTTAAGACATTCCAGTAGTTGCCAGTGGTAAAAAAAATAATGGAATAAAAAATTCCAATTAATGTTTGTTTATTGCCGGCATCGGAAAAGAATAAAATAAAATTTGAGTTTAATGATAAAAGTATAGATCTTATTAAAACAGTCAGTCTTAAACATCAGATATTTCCAATACCATACAATATTTAAAAATCACATAAACAATCACACCATTTACAGTTTTTCAGAGAGTCTGGGCATTATAAATATAAAACAAATCAAATCAAATAATTTATTTCTTTGTGATACACAGGTTATAAAGTTGTTACAAGAATGAATTTTGAATCACTGTGATCCGCCTTATGGCATACAAAGTTTTCTTAGTTTTAGTAATTCTCATGCAATAATTTGTAATAATATTATAATCATGCAGTCCTATTAATGCAACCTAATACTAATGAAACATAATAACAATAGTAAAATAATCAATAACAAATTTAATAATATGAAATGTAAGTTTTATAAGAAATCTTCAATATTATAGAATGTCCAATCATTTAGGTAATTAAATAATAATTTCTTAAATTCTGCACAATCGTTGCAATTCCTAATTTCAAGTGGAAGTTTGTTATATACCTTCGTAGCCATTACTATTACACTCTTTTGAAGTAGAGCAGTTTTACATGATCTACTTTTCAGTTGATGAGAACGCCGGCCTCGTGTCGAATTCAAATAAATGAAGATACGAAAAGTGAAATATCATTTTCAAAACAACAGTTAAAATAAAAAAAAATGCTAAATTATGTAATAAAACTTAAACATTTTGCATTATTTTTATATACTGCTTGCTAAGGCTACCTTTCAACCAGAGATGTGCGACGTAGCGAAGCAGTGTGCGAGGAAAAGTCCAACAATAGGATTACTTCATTTTCCTAGACTCGCTTAGGTTCGCTCCGGTGAAAAAGAGTTAGCGGAGCTTAGTACTTGTACATACAAAATAGCGAGAAATGCGTGCGAGGAACATGTGCGAGGGATGCGGGCGAGGAATGTGTGCAAAATGGTGTAGGGAAACTATAGCTACAGAAAGTATGACAATAATTGCCACTGACATATCGCCACCGCTCACCCCACCACACCGTATCCCTCCCGCGCATAGCTGTAAAGCGTTCGTAACGCATCCTCGCACCAATCACACCGTTTCACAACGCCGCTACACATCCACACACCGCCTCGTTACCTCGCACATCTTTGGTGGAAAGGAAGTCTTTCTCTGCGTACTACCACTACAATACATGTATATGGTGTAAGGTGGTCCATACAATGTATATACTTACACCACATAGTAAATAAAGGTGACAAACTCATAATTTTCTGCGTCACGCGAACTAGTTTGTGAACTTCGCAATAATCACTCATATTTCGTATTGGGCATGCGTTGAAGTCCATGCACGACGGACATAACCCTGTTACTGACATTCTAGAGCCCTTACAATACATATTTGAGCTGTAAAAAGAAACGAGGTTTCACTAATAAAATTGTTTCTGTTGAGTAACAAAGACTGAATGAGATAACCATGAAAAAAACTCGGGGACATTTCGGGTAAATTCATATTATTAAAACGTAATTGAATAGTGAAATTAACATAGTAGTTAATAGTCGATGAAGTCTCGTTTCTAAAGCGAAACCGAATTGCCGCGCCTTAGGTACATTACTGTCTCTCGAGAAGCTGCGTTGACGGCGTACCACGGCTGTTTCGGCCGTGCATAACTACGGTCTTATACTGTGGGGCAAATCATAAATACTTTATTTCCTCCACAAATTTGTAACAATTTCAATGAAATAATAGTGTATATAGAAAAATTAGTAGAGCCTGGAGCCTAAACTAGTATACCATGTGTTTTAGGTCACCAGGCCTCCACCTCCCGAATCTCTAATCAATAAATCAATAAGTCTACGAAAACAAATTATATAATAAAAAATTACAAAATGAAATTATGTGAGAGTGCGTGTGATGTGTAAGTGCGTGAGATGTGTGTGTGAGTGCGTGTAATGTGTGAGTGCGTGTGCATTAGATGAGTGCGGGCTTGTGTACATGTCAGTGTGTACATTTATGCGTGAGTGTGCGACTTGTGTAAGTTTAGACGATGAATTTTACGAGCGAGTGCGCGTGTTTGGATGTATGAGAGGTCAAACTGTGATTGCTACACTAATACGTATGAAACTACGGCTTAGATATTTAATGGGCCGTCAAAAAAATGTCAGTGTCAACAAAAAGACAGGGTATACCATTGACTTACAATTATATGGACGTCGGGTCCGCGCTAAAAAGTGTCCGCACTTGTAAGGCGCTAAAATCGTATACAGAGCGCGACACTCCGCTTTAGTCTTCATTTGTTCTACGGACAGCGCGATACTGCGATGACATAACAATTTAAATTTCGAATAGGTTGACTTGGGACATTTTTTTCGTTGTTATTAGACCCGTCGTCCATTTATTTGTAAGTCAATGGGGTATACTGAGTATATTTTGAGTATATTTTGGCACCAGTCCTACGTTCAAGATAAAACTGGACCGGATTCGGCAAAACTGCCATCCACTATTCTGGATATATTACATATTATTTAACATACTATACATATTATTTAACACAAAACTAAGAAATTATAACTAATAGATTCACAGTATCCTCATAATTCAGGTTCAACGGCCATTTGGTTACCATTTTTTTTACAATTATATGCATTTAATGGATATATATTATTCACTGCATTGCACTTGTTGTATAGATACGAACCAAAAAAATAAAATTTTGAAAAAAATTTGGGAAATGAGGTTATACACATTTTACTTATACAGACGATTAGTGAACTACAGTACCAACACGCTATGATGGCCGTTTTGACAGATTACAATAGTGAGGTCAAATCTCAATTAATTATCGAAAAAAATATAATCAAATGCGAGTCGCATCTACAAGTTTTTAGATTTATAACTAGTATTGCAGGAGGTAGCTGTATAAAAAGTTTTAATAAAACGAAAATAAAAAAAATTATTTAATATATCGTTACTCGAAACTTCTTCGTTTTGCATTGAGCTTTGACGCGAGTTTGCCGGAGGTGGAAATTGTACTGGCCAGCGACCCCTTAAGTGACGATCGTATTAGATTTCATTTTTAAAAATTGCTAATTTCGAACAACAAATATGCCGAGTTGTGTCGTAAAATTATACATTCTATAAATTTTACGTCACTATACGTATATATACGTTGACAATAATGTACAGCAATTAGCACCTTCCCGAATTAATATGAAACTTCATGAGCGGAAAAACGTCAAAACGGCCATCATAGCGTGCCGGTACTATAATGTCTGTCTTTTTTGAAGATGGAGTAAAATGACAGTTCATGACGCAAAAAGTGTTGCCCGTTTGCAAGCAGCTAGCGATTACTGTCGATAAATATTCTATTGACTATCTACTGAATTTCATTTTAATTCTATATAGATAATAAAAACCGCCTGTTCTTACTAAAATATATATGAATGGAAATTGATTTCGTTACTACCAGGCCAACTGTCAAAATACTATATATTTTATTATATATATATTTATATATATATTTTTCGGTATAGTACAGTTCAGTATGAGTGTGTATAATATTAAGTGTGTATAATAATAAGTGGATATCTAAGTTTAATTTAAGACTCATTTCTTGATTCTACAGTCAAACTGTATTATACAGTTTTGTAGAACTATGACTATATTAAGACAGTTGTACCTTATATATATAAATAAATAAATAAAATAAATAAGAATAAAGAAGGCAATAACGGTAGGTAATCATTAGAACGAACGTCGTAACAATCGCGATTCAGGCATTTTTGGCAAAATTTAGCCTTCTTTCTCAATCTCAATCAATCTTGCGATAAAAATGTCGGCAACAACTACATGACTATTTAAAATTTTATGAAAACTGGCAACCCTGCAAACGTCATTTTACTCTGTCTTCAAAAAAGATAGACTGTAATCAACCAATTGTACGACTGACTAAGGTGGCTGTTACTTACGGCTCTTTTAAAAATAAAGATTTTAAAATCTTCCAAGAAGGAACTATCATAAACAAAGCTATTGGCATCATAAACATCAGAAAAGTGATATAGAATTGATAAAATGCAAAGTACAGGGCAATCTGTGAAAAAAAAGAATTCATTTATAGTGTGCCTTATTCCAGCGTGACCATGGTCGAGTTTTTGAAATTTGATTAGCTCGAAAAAAAGTCGCTACTTAGTCGGTTCTAGTCGCAAAACACTAGATTTAGTCGGTCCGCCGTTCATAAGGGTGTTTTATTGTCCACGGTGGAATAAGATTTTTTTTTTTTTTTTTTTCAACATAGCCCCGCACTAGGGAAACCCTGTGTCGCGGGTGCCATGGACACACATATAGACAACCACAAATTACACCCAAACTCACGAGAGAAATAATTGTAGGCCATACAAATATTTCTCCCGGCCCGGGAATCGAACCTGGGACCTCTGCGTGGCAGTCCGGCATGGTAACCGTTCGGCCACGGAGGCAGTTAAAATATTATTCCAGCTGGATTATTCCAGCGCCACAATTTCTCAATCTCGAGAACCATAAAACTTAGCTTAGATCTGATTACATTACAAAAAGTCGTGATTTAGTCGGTTCTAGTCGGAACAAACTAGATTTAGTCGTTACGCCATTTTGAAGTTCAATTCCATTCAATTCAATTCAATAATGTATTGGCAAACCATAATATACATAATAAGATGTTACAAATGTAGTGAGACCAGTATTATGGGCCCTGTCGGGCACGCAACAATGAGAGCTAGGAGAGAGAAAGCGCAATTTTATAGTAGTATTTTATATATAGTAAATATTCTATTCTTATTTATCATAGGTACTATATACTATATTATATTGTTATAAAATTTAATTTAAAAACAACCTTAATATTTATCATCATTTTGCGTGGCCTCTGAATGTATTATCTATTAAATATTCGTTAATAGTGTAATAACATTTTTAAAGTTAATTTATAAAGTTAATAATTTTTTAAGTTATTAAGGTGTTTTACTGACCACGCTGAAAGAAGCTTACTTCGGCGGCACCATTTCTGAATCTCGAGAACCAGTCAGTCAGTCATTACTCAATTACGTCATTCAATCATTATTAAATTATTCTGATCAATCACAGGACTCATCTTACAATGTGGGAGGGCTTGTGCTGTAGTTTACTTTGCAGATATGTTCAGGTGTCCTCGCAATTATTTCCTTCACCGAAAAGCTTGTTCAAACTAAATTTCGAATCCACAATCCTCTACTATAGAAGTGGTCAAACCATTAGATCAGTATCTAAATGATCGTTCTCCTTCTACCTCCTTCTAGCCCGAAAGGTACTAGAATGCTATTTGAAAGCGCGCGATCGAATGTACAACAGAATGTCGGCGCATTTTTCTCAAATCGTGCTGTTGACGCCCCCGCAACGCGATACGCAAAATCTAACAACGCGCGTTTGGCGCGCGCATGGTCAATAGCGCGCTTTTGTGTGGAGTATATAACCAGGAATAGAGACGAAATGCATTTAATTTGTTTGAAAACTATTCTGCCATATCATTACGATGACAACTGCGCTCCGATTGGCCAGCCCGAATTCGAAACAATTGACGGATGTTGTCAATTGTTTCACTTCAAATCGACCTGTTTAACTTAAGCTTTGCTATAATAGACGAAAATTGAAAAACTACATATTTAATATTTAATTACCGATGAAATGTGATTCCGTTTGCTTTGTAATTAGATGTTTTGCTGTTTTTCCCACACCACCAAATGGAACAGCCCCCCATAGTTAGAGATATTATCTTTATTACAGTAAATACAGAATATTTTTGGAATATACGGAGACGTACACACACGTCAATTGTTGGCGCTGTACTATTTCAGCTTTCCAATATGTGATTTCAGTGCAAACGAGAGTTGTTATTTAAAAGTGATACAAGGCCCATTTGACTGATGACTTGCCAGTGATGGATGGCCATTATTTCGTCTCTATTTCTGGTTCAATACTCGATGACTAGCTTTTAAGCTAAAACGATTTAAAAAAAATGGAAACGTTGATAAATACCCTAGACCCAAAATACTCGTAAATTAAAGTTAACGGCTGCGACATGTACATATTTGTGAATCCCGCCCAGTTGTAGAACAACATCTGAAACATTAAAAATAAACAGAATCATGTCACGGGTCTCTTCTTAGGCGAGGGTTCAGGCCATAGTCCGCCACTCTGACCGGTTGCCTATCAGTAGTCTGAAATGACATTTTTCAGAAATAACGTTTGGTAGAATTTTCATAACCTCGAAAGTAATTTTGAGAGGAAAATGTTTTTGTTCTTTTAAACCTAACTACCTAATAGTAAAGTACCTAAAAACCTAATAGTATCTGTGCGAGTACGTTAACTTAATTCACCTGGGTGCATTAGACACGATTTAGGAAACTTTATTCATATCGAGTTCTTAGGTTTTCGCGATTGCTACACATAGGAAATGAAACTATTTTTCCTGATTTAAATCGCGTATATTTGTTTTTTCAAACAAACCGACGTGTCGGGCCCTTTACATGGTCACGGCTGACTGAGGTGGTACATTCTTCAGGACCTGTAAAGGGCCCGAAACGTCGGTTTGTTTGAAAAAACAAATATAAGCGATTTAAATCCGGAAAAATAGTTTCATTTCCTAAACTTTATTCATCTATTTAATTTACATGGGTGCATTAGATAAACAGTAGATCTAGCGTTCAAATAAATGTCAAAATTGTATGTGAGGCTTAGTTAAGCATTTTGAATAGACAAATAACCGTAGACATTTTTTACAAATGGTCCATTAAAAATATAAGCTTTTATGTTTATTATGTGGCTTGTTTAATACTAAATAAGTAATACAAAAAAATGTACTTTAGTATTGTACTTATGTATATTAGCAGATTTCCAAATAAGTAATTTGCAATTTTAAAACAAATATTTCTGTTGTAGATCTGTTTGCCTTTAGAACACTTTTATGATAAAATATTTAAGTTGCTTTTGTGTTACGTGAGCCCAATTTTACGACCTTACACCCTAATGACATTACTTTTTTTTTTTGTATGGGTGGGTATTTTTTGTATAACGGTAAAGAGAAGTGATTTAAGTTTACTAAAAGTGTACTTAATGCACTTAGGTGAATTAAGTTAACGCATTTGTCTTTACGATAAACATCCAACATATCCTGAAAGAACAACGGTTTCGTTATAATTCGGTTTTCGGTGCAATGAAAATTAGAACAAACGTTACTTCGGAAACAATATTCGAGTTTGTGATTGGTTACCAGTCTGGCCCAATACTGGTTGGGGAATTCACACGTTTACGGAGGGTTGAGGATGTTTTCCTCCAGCGGAAATACGTTTAAGTGTTTACTATTAAATTAACGGTCTTATGGTTGAAAGGCAAAACTGCAAATCGGCGTGACGTGAATTCGCAACGGAGAAAACTAATATATTTTTGTGCCTTGCGTGTCCAATTCAACAATGCCCTCAGAGGACTGCTGGGGCTGCCTCGGCACTGTAGTGTCTGAGGTATGTTCGCAGAGGCTAGAATTTGTGACGATGTGACCTCCTACATCGTCATCCCGCCTTTTTATCGCCTTTCTGCAGTTCCTGGCCACTCGTTCTTAAATTTTGAATCGTTCTTTGATTCCTTTGTCACGTCATTCTGATTTCGTTTCGTTCCATCGTCATTCCTTACTCAATCGTCGTAGCGAACGGTAGTATTTTATTGCAGTAAAATTAAAAATAACAGTAATATATGTACCCTAATTTTGTCAGTTAATATAATATATAATTGTATAAATAATAATATATATAATAATAAACCTTTTATCAGTTAATCAAAATCATGTACCAATTTTAATACCACTTAAAACTTTTGGGATAAGTGTCTGGACTATTTGTTATTATAATATAGTGAGGGAGTGTTTTATCCGCTCACGCGATACATGCAGCCGTAGACGCATACCACATCTAGAGGTGTCGGTGATGATTTTATACCAATTTATCGGATATCGGAGTTATAACAGGTAAAAGAACTAATATTAATTGCTATTTCGGTAACTACTCTAGAAACCATATAGTTTTTAATGCCTGGGTCTGTCATTTAAAAAAAATAAACAACTTCAAAAATACGTCACGATAATCGTGTGTGTTATTGTTTAGGCTGGTGATTTTGGTGTTTATTTATTGAAAACATATCGTAAGTAACGTTTTTTAAGTTTACCCTGAATATAAATGTTTATAAACTATACTTTAAGGAGTAATTTCATGGTAAACGTTAGAACCACTCAAACGGAATATTATCATATTTATCCAAGTACACCAAAAATTTAATTAGTGCTTTTTAAGTGCAGGATTTGCGGTGTATTACTGCATTTTATTTGAGATGTTTGTGTTGTAGTACGGAGGGTATTTATTTAGCAATGCAGAATAATAATTATAATAATTTTTATTTATAAAAACTTGTATTTAAACTGAATCGTTTTCTAATTTGCGAAACCAAATAGCCGCCATTTTGCGGTAGGAGGAGCGCATCGCGTGAGCGGGTATACTGTTGTACCTGTTTTTTATATACCTTTTTCTTTACAGCCTTTTACTTCAACTTCAATAAACTTTGGTTGGACCGAAGCATCCTATTTTATTGCCGTGATCCTGGTCACGGCGCATAGTGGATTACAACCCTTTCAAATTGATAGTTTTCATGCCGTCGTTCGCAAGAAAGTGGCATCCCTGTTGGTCATAGTGAGAGGCAGCACCAACAGCGTTCTTAAGGTGGCAGCAGAGCGGATGGACAGCCCAATCCTTAAGTACTGGATGTCCATCCTTGTTCATGAAAATGAACTCTTTGCTTTCTACTAACATAATTGTTCTTTCTACTATCACCATATGGACATATTACTGTACCTACTGTCTGAAATAAAATTGTTTTATTTCATTTCACACTTCCGCTTCCGTTTCAGATTTACGTATGACCCGTTACGCCCGTTATAGCGCTACCGTTGCATCACTAGTTAGACCCTATTAATGGGACGTATATAAACATAACGATTCAACTCGCAGTTGAGATAGAACTTACTTGTCTAGCGTTGGCAGTACACAAATCTTGACTATTCGTAATGAAGTACGGTCCATCATGAAGAGCGTAAGCGTCAACTATGATCTTTGCTTTTAGAAGCCTGTAACACAGCTTATACTTAATATAACGCATTGTAATGCAGCTTATTATGTTTTCACCACACCGTTCAGAGTGCATTTCATATCTTGCACCACTTCCCATAAATCTTTTTTTTCATGACACCTAGTAACGGGATTAAAATGTAGTGCGCCTAGTGTTAAGCCTACCTACCGCCTGTTGCAGTGCCACTCAAGAACCTTAAATCGCACAGGTCTGAGGGACGCTGCTACCTGTGACCCTGAGATACAAGTTGATAAGTATCACATGCCTGTAATTTCACCAGTACCCCTTACCCTTGAAAACTGGGATGCAGTAATGCTGACATTACTGCGTGGCGGCAGAAATAGGTAAGATGGCAGTATTACCCTGGACGGACTCTTTCTCAAGGAGCTCCACTGATACTAGTATTTCTTGGATGTCGTAGAAAGTAATTAAAGAAAGAAATATTTATTTCATCCCATTCAAAGAAGATATTTTACCTTTAAGAGAGGCAAATTGGGGGATGAATCCAGTTTATTGATGATTTTATCGATGCCTCCAATGAACACTATACCAACTTTGTTCATTGGTCATTTCTTTGTCATTTTCTGGTCTTTTTCTTGGTCATTTTCTGTTTTTAACCCTTAACTATAGTCGTGTGTCCAGTGGACCCAAGTTAATTTTTTAAACTCGCGTAGGAATCACTGCAGGCGACGCAGCTCTTCCTATTCCTCAGTACCTTCCGATGGCACGCCGAAGCTCGCATTGTGAGATGTTTTGTGACGTGTTTTGCTCGCTGATCCAAACGTGAGTAATGGTTTACATGTGGGTCCAACGACTATAGATACGTAAGTTTTTTGAATGACATATTTTATCAATTATTGTTTTTTATTTCAGTTTCTTCAAACATTGTGATCTGTTGGGAAACTATTTGAAATATTTTTTTCAGTTGAATTGAATCACGCGATCGGTTGCGACAAATCGTACAGCGATTGGGCAGATGCCATTGATATCGTGATCAAAGTGTACAAAAACCCTTTATAATATCGCTCTTCACTAAAATACCTTTTTAGTATGTCAACAGTTAACATTTTCATAAATAAAATAAAGATTCACAAAGAAAAAAAAATAATTCACAGTAAACACAAAGTACACTTTATGAAAGACGTGCTTCTAACATACTTTTTTATTTGTTTTGTATGCATATGGTTTGTAATCCCAAGAGCTGCAGCTGATCGGCGAGTGCTGGTCCGCAGATTATTTTCAAAATGATCCAACATCGCCTCTTCTATGTCAGGATCATGAGCCACGTGAAATGAGCCACCAGTTTGAAGTCTCAAAACCATATTCCGAAAGCAGGCTCTCGAAGGAAGTTGACAGCGTTCAGCTTCTGGTCTACCACCAATAAATCTCTCACGGTAGAGCTCGCGTGCTTGGTGTAAGCTTCCGTCTGCTGCTCCGACGCACACCATCATTTCATAATATTCTGAATTAAGTACTTTTACTACGATTATTCCGAAATTGTAGAATACAAGATGTGGAAGAACAACACGGGATATCAATGACAGAATGACCTACAGCGTCAATATCCATTTATTTTTATTAATCAAAAACAAAACTGTAGGTATTGAATCTTATTGTATAAAAATGTTTCTAATTCTAAAATACTAATATCATTTTTAAATAATAGTTAATTGAACATTTTGTCCCTCCATTTTCGACTGACTTCAAAGTAAGTGGTTGTGTGAGGTTAGTGATGTTACAGCACATTTTAATACTGATATCGACGAATTTTCTTAATTTTTAAAAATGAAATTAATTTAATTTGTCATAATGTTTAACAAGAATCAATGCCAATTTACTCTTTGATAGTAACTCTCTACGACGTTGAATTTCCATTGCACCTTTCTGTTACACCCTGTATGTATTCCTACCGTTAATTTTATACAACACAGCATTTGTTAAAGTTAAAATAATAGTTTGAATAAAAAAAATATTATAGATATATCATACTCTCTATTTTTCTTCATTCCAAAATGCATGGGTCCATTGCATCCACGACCACAGAAGCGTTATTTTTTTTACACGATTATTTTTATTTTTATTTTATTTTTATTTATTGGTTCACCAACAACTGCTTACACTAAAACTACAGCTACAGAAACACATAACATTGTTTAAAGGCTGAGTGCAACAGTTAATTACTGGTAAACATGCCATAACTGAAAACTCGTAATTAAGTACCTATATTAAGATTACAAATAGGAAGACAATTAATTACGTGTAACTTTGCTCAAGTTTTCAAAACAAAGATGATGACGACTATAGTTAAGGGTTAATGTAAACAGCCTTATTTTAAATTTATATTGGTTGATATTCAATTAATTTTTATGTGACTCCACTATTGGAAATGAAACTATTTTTCTGGATTTAAATCGCGTGTATTTGTTTTTTCAAACAAACCGACGTTTCGGGCCCTTTACAAGTCCCATGGTCATGGTTGACCGTGTCAGTCAAGAAAAATAGTTTCATTTCCAATGTGTAACAATCGCGAAAACCTAAGAACTCGATATTACTCCACTAGTTTGTTATAATTATTAATATCCTTATTAGCCTTATTTTATTTATTTATATTACGCTCCCCAAATTTCGTAGAAAAAATATAGAAACAAAAAACAAAATAAAAACAGCGATGACGAAAAAATTTTAAGTCGGCGTGGTAGATTAGTAGTTAGGTAGATTGTACGTTACCTAGAAAGGCCGTATAATTTATCTCTACTGCCAAAAGGCTGGTGACTGACAACCATGGCAGTGACATAACTTCGGTCTCGGTTTGACAGACGCATTGGTTTAATGTAGCGTCGTCTGTAACAAATGGCATAAAAAATAAAGAATTAGTTGTTTTTAAAACCGACTTCAAAAAAAGAAGGTGTGTTACGTGATTACACCGACATTTGTGAACCGATTTTGATGATTATTTTTTTGTTGGAAAGGGGGTACCTCGGTATTGGGCCCATTTCAATTTCAAGAAAATATTCCACCTCTCTGGGCTCATTCAGGGCGCAGCACAGGCGCGTTCGCCGCGACGGGTGTGGGTAGAACACACGTCGAAATCGCAAACAGACGCTGGACGCTAGACCAAGCACTGTAAAAGGTACGAGTGAATCGAGCCAATAGATCTAACGCCGCGGCGCGCGCGCACCCGTGCCCGCCTCGAGACAGGCACCAGCACGCGCGGCCACTAAACACAACGAGGGTCTCGTCGAACATTAGATTTAGACGCATCCGCGCCCGCACTTGCGCCCGCCGCCACTCTGAATAAGGTTTAAGAATGGCAAACTATGAGATAAGTTTGGTTTCGCAGTTTCTATGACATGTAAGTAAAATTTAAAGTCGGTTCATTAAAAAAAGTATATTAGATATATTATGTCTTAGACTATTTATTTTTTTCCATCCTATAAGTATTATGTCAACGATTGTCTATTGTATATGTGTAAAGAATGTAATATTGTGAATGAATGGTTGATATATAGAGCGATTTCTAAGAGCTTTCAAGGAGTGAATTGTTGATGCGATTGAATGTGCATTAAGGTGCCTTCAAATTAGACGCTTATATAGGCTCTGTAGTGACGACATTTTAGCGCCTCTTATTGGCGACCTTCGTGGGCGAGCTTGCATACCTGTTTTCATGGTATCGCCATCTCTGAATTCCCGGGTTCGATTCCTCGCCAGGGAGCCGATTCTGAACGTTACTGAGTTGCCGACCGATTCGATTTGACATCGTACGATTTCTTTTCATTTTTATTCACAACACCCGAATCGAACGTCGAACTGTCGTATTCGAAACCGAACCAAAATGACGTCACACCCGTACGATCACTCGAACTTCTTGACCGACAAAGGCTACAAACGTTATTCAGTTATCGAATGAAAGTTCCCGAACGTCCTATTGTTTACAAAGCAAGAATGTAATATGAAAATATCTTATTATTTTAAATAAACTCTAGATTTTGTTAAATTTTATTAATTTATTTTAATGCAAGACTAATGCATTCTTACATTTTAGGCCTTTAACATTGACTTACAAATAAATGGACGACGGGTCTAATACAAAAACCACGAAAAAAATGTCCCAAGTCAACCTATTTAAACGTAGTGACAGGTAAAGGAATATGGAAAAGATTAACGTTGAATTTAAATTGTAATGTCATCGCAGTACTGTCTAATTTTGCTTGCTTCGCTGTCAGTCGAACAAACGAAGACTAAAGCGTGAATGACGCTCTGTATACGATTTTAACGCCCTATAAGTTCGGACACTTTTTAGCGCGGACCCGACGTCCATATAATTGTAAGTCAATGGATGTCAAAGTCTTAAAAATGTTTGTAAAAGGATTATCATTTTTCTTATAATCTATTTCACCAACTAACTCCGTAAACGCTGTTGGATAATGATATCGTATCCGAATCCGAATGTTCTGAATAGCTCGGAAAGCGCCCTTCGATTCGAGAACGATGTCCAATCGAATGATTCGGTTAAAATATCGAAGAGTTTTGAATTGGGGTCCTGGTCAACGTAGAAAAATACAATTTTCAATATTATCTCGAATCTGGGTGTTTGTTGAACATGGATTTTTCCGATTATCATAACACGCGTCCTTTAGTTACTTTTAGTTATTTTGGGATCAGGGGGCCTACCATAACCTTTCAAATAACAATCTTATTTCAAGTAATCCTATAGTAAGCTTATTATGATATTACTCGTATCTATTCGTACTGTAGTCTAGGCTCTACACTTTGAGTAGAATCACTGGCTGAATGAATATAGTTTTGTAATTAGAATGTGTTTTGAAAAATGAAATAAGAGAAGAGAACATCTTGATAGATAACGAAATGTAACCCAACGCCGAAAGTATGTGAAAAAGTGCAATAAAGTATATTTTGAAGATTATTCCAGTTTAAATTCATAAAAGTACCTCTCGCTACGCATCCTAAGCTACGCCCCAGTTACAGTACCATGGCAAACCTATCAACCAAGTAATGTATTATTGCTAAAGTGACTGAAAGAACGAATGATTTCCCAATATTGTCTATTCCTTACTAAAAATAGGATAGAAATAACGCCATATGAACTGTATAATGCCATCTCTTTCTTTTTTGATGCTCCGAATCGTCCTATCGCAGTATAACGTTAAAGTACACATTCAGAGACTTGTAACTGCCAACAAAATAAAAGTATTTAATAATGAAATTTATTAAAATTACGATGTTTTCAATTATTTTTGAATGATGAACGAAGAAAAATAAATAAAACAAGCTGAGTCTTGATTGTAACGTTGTGAATTCGGAATTACAGTCTAGTATCAACCGTTAGTGTCGCCAAGGAGCATAATGGATGTCGCTGTCATAATTTTACGAAATAAACATCGCGTATTTTCATTTAACGAGAAATTATTTCACCACGTACTATTAAATAAATAAATAAACAAAATATTGAAGAGATATATTATGTAAATAAATAAGTTAACTTTTAATCATTACAAATCAATATTAAGACAATAAAACTGAATATAATATTGTTTCCATTTGCTAAATTTCAAATAAGAACAATAATACTTTAATGTTAAAGTCGCGTCATAGTACGAACTGAGTGAATGAATAGTCACAAAGCTGCCAATAAAACATCATAGTTTTAACATTATAATAAGCTTACTTCAAGCGCGTTATGGTACGAAAAGTCAATGTAAGGTTAAAGTAATATTGGTTCAAGAGGTTGTGGTAGGTCCCCAGATCATACACAGACCTATATCTAAATAGATACTGCAAGTACCGCGATCTGTATGTATTAAATCCAAGCGTGCCAATTTTTTTTGTATCTCCTGTGACATCACATGCGCTAGTAATAGGAAACCTTCTACGGCACTAAAGCGATTGATTAAATCGAAGACGCAGACGCAGCACGTATTTAAAATAATGATTTTTCAAATATTGGTTCATTATAAAAAGCTGTGACATATTGATATAGTAAAATAATATCAGAATAAGATAATTAAGTCGTTTATTAATACGTCTTTTGGAAAAAAGTTGGTCCGGAAAACTAAAAAGAAACAACAACAAACTTTATACACAGAATATTTTTATAACATTTTCTAAGGTCTTAAGAATTATCATCCCTTTGTTACCTAAATCTATCAGAATCGAGAACTGTGTTGCATCTGGTGAACATTATTAATCGTAAAATTTGACCAAAAACAAGACGAAGCGGCCGTACCACGAAACTGAATGCATTATACGAAAATATCGTTCGTTCGATGTTCATGGCCTTTTAAAGAAGTATCACACGTGTACCGCATTAAGTAAAAGCCGCAATGAATTACGAATCACGCGGCATACACTCGTTTGCATATTTGTTTTCTCGGAATTCATTCAAAATTTTTCTTTGATTTATTTATTTTTCAAAAAGTATACATTTTACACAAATTTATCTCCCGCCAAACTGGAAATAGTTTGTTGGCGAATAAAGTTATACTTAATGACTAAATAGGTACCTAGCAGCGAGAAGGTACTTCTCATGTAGGTCAAACTTACTTATCTAACAAAACTACAATAACAATTACAATAATATGCAAGTTCTGAAATCAGCAGTTCATTAAGGGTCGTATTCTAGAACTCTACTCAATGCTCAAGTCAGGATTTGAGTATGGTTTAAAGCACTCGAAATCATACTCAAGTCCTTGCCTTTAGGGTCGTATTTCCAGTGCTTGAAATCATACTCAAGTCTGCTCAAATCCTGACTTGAGCATTGAGTAGAGTTCTGGAATACGACCCTAAATCTTTTATATTTTAACTTTTATAATTTGCTTCCTAATTGTAGGACTTTTTCTTAAGAACCTCACATCATTATATGTATATACGAGGCCTAGGCGTATATACACGATAATTCAGCCTTAGGTTGAACGAACTTATTTTCACGAGCCCTTTTGGTCTTATATTTATTGGAAACTGGTATTTTAAGAGAAAGCATGCCAAAAAAGTTTTGACGTTGGCTCCGCCCAAATTTGTGAAACAAAATTATATGCCTGCAGTTGCGTGACATGCGACAGGAGATGTTGAATTTTGTGCTTTAAAAGTACCAAATTCGTTTTAGCGGAATAACTAAAACTAAAGGGATTAAAAAAAGTTGTCGATCATGCACAAATATAATTAATTATCTAATTTTTGTCCTAATAACCTGTAGCATTTCGAAGATAAATCGAAAAAATGTGAAAATTAGAGGTCATTTCGTGATTTTTATCTACGAGGAACTTTATTGTTTTATGTTTCTGATTAATGTCTATGCTTGAATATATCGTGTAGTTACTAATACAATATTTTATTTTTAACTTTAAAGTGGATATACCCCTCCAAAATCAAATCGAAGGTTAGGATTTTTTCCTCTGCTCCCTCTTAAATTCATTACTACAATTATTATCTAATGCAATTTGGTATTTGGATTTCAAATGGACTGGAGTATTTTAAGAAAATAATACAATTTATTATAATTACCCTTACAGTCGCGTTTTGAAATGACTGACTTTAGATAATGAATATCCTGATTACAAAATTACGTAACTGTGGAAGAAAACGTCGCTGTTTATTTATCTTCTCACAACTGTGGTGTTTTTGCAGGTTCTAACGGCACAATAAGGCATTTTCGGGCTGTCGACTGACATTTAACTACGATAACGGCCGGGTGCGTTCTGAAGCGTAGCAGCGGCAACTAAGCGTTTATAACTTACATTAACCACGTGAAGTAGGTACACATGCGGTGTCTATTTAGATATATGTCTGTGAGAGCAACGTACGGGATATTGTATCTATTTATTTATTTATATTTGGGAAACTAACAGCTTAAATGACATTGATGTAGTTACAATAAACAAAAATTCATAGCAGAGAGCCTTTTCAAACTTCCTCGACTATTTAAAAATGTATCAGCACTTCACAATAATATAACGAAAAAAAAATTGTAATATTACGCAACCTTGTTAATTTGACCCATTCCCTCTCACACGTATTTCTGAACATGTCCTTCCAGGTGGGCGTCATGCCTTGCCTTCCAATCCAATGAACGTGATTGTCTTGAAAATATTTTACCACTTCAAACATGTACTTATATTGGTCGAGGACTAAATCCGGTGCATGAATTTTACAGAATAGAAGATTGTTGTGTTCAGGTAACTGAAATAGATTGTAGTTTAAAAGAAGAGAATAGTCAATTATGTAGCATTGGGAGATTTGCGCATACATCAAAAATGTTTGCCAATTACTGAAAATCAGACTTTTAAATGATTTTTTTTTGGTCAATTTCATTTACAAATTCAAATAAAAAATTAACCAGAAAAAAGCCATCGGTGTTAAAAAAAAGATCGACGAACACGTAGAAAAGTTTTTGTCGACCCGGTTGGACTTGAACCCAAGTCCGTGCTGCAACGTAGCATTCCTCTTTACCAACGGAGCCAAGGGTCCAGTTACCGAGCCGATGAAATTCTCCTGTGTTTTTGTTATAGAACTTTGTATTGGCTTTCGGCATTCGTTGGCATGGCGACCACTCAAACTCCACTAGGTTTGTATTCATAATCATAACAAAACTAATGGCGTTGTTCACAAAAAACTTTTTGAGTTTTTAATACTCATTGAGTACCTAAAAAAATTTTACGTCATTCGCAATCAATATTTCGATATTCGCACTATGACTACTGCGCTGCGTCTGGGGGACTAGTTTTATGAAATTATGAAAAAGGACTATAGTAAGTTTGTAATCCGACACAGTTAGGTCTTATTACTGGACAACAATCCCGGATTTCCCAGCCATCTGGCAAGCCATTTGAATGCCTTCCGGTTCGTGGTCTCTATTCGAGAACCTATCTGCCCCAACGACCGTCAGTTCTATCGGCTATGTGCCATTGCCACTTTAACTTGCTAATCCTTTGGACTTTCGTTCTTCTACGGATCTCCTAATTTCTGATTCGATCACGTAGAGAAATGCCGAGCATTGCTCGCTCCACAGCTCGTTGCAGGATTGAGTTTTTTTATGAGGCTCATCATCAGTCATCGTAGGCAACTGCTTCAATACTTTTGTTTTCAAGGACTGCAGCATTGCAGACGAGAAGACGTCCCGGAGCTTTCCGAAAGCTGCCCAACCGAGTCGGTTTGATCATGAATGTTGGTATCGCGTCACAAAATTATAGAGCGAAGTGGATGAAGGCGTGGGGATAGGTAGACCTATCTATATATAGGTAGGCATATCTATCGCAATCATATTGATGATGTACTTAAAAATGGCATGGTTAAATTACCACGAGTAAAGTGTTATGTATGAAGATATTGATGGGAGTGGAGGAGACGTTGATTTGTCGGGAGCGAGGCCGGTGGAGATCTGTTGTTGTTTGTCTGAACGGCGTAAACATACGACTTGTTTAAAGACACTTCTTTAGAAAAGAATATGGAATCGTTTAGATAAGAAAGCAATTAACATTTTGTAACAATATTATTAAATTCGAACAAAACTCGATTTACAACAAATATTTAGTTGTAAATTGTTTTTGCTTCCGATTTTGGGCGTTAACGGGTTATAACCCGATTTAAGCACCATGTTATCAAAGCAATTGCCAATCTCTGATTATAAGTAAAATCATTCAATGCCGCACGTCTACCAGTGTGCGAAAGAGGTTAAACGTTTTGGTCTTTTTGCAATATTTCTATTTAAATAATTCTATGCAACAAAAAAAAAAGGAAGAGCCTTACCACTCCTTTCTCAATCTCCAAGTCGAGACCTATCTTAACGAGAGTGGAGAGAAAATTACTTTTAAGTTCATCGACATAGAGGTCATCGCCCTCATCGCTGAATGCTAGTACATAATCGACACGTTTGCAACATTCTCGAAACATGCCAGTGTACGATGGAGTCTGAAATTTAAACCAAAATTTCATTAATTCACAGGTACAATTACTCATGCCTAAAGCAGATTCTCCTGAATGAATAAGAAACTGTAGTGGTAGCTCTATGTAAAAAGACAATTCAGTGTTCACATTTACTATTAACAATAACAATTCTAAAATAATAGATTGAAACAATCTGAAGGTAGCTTATTAGCTATTAATGCATGTTTTAGTTTATTCTAATTTCTATTAATAATTAATAATAAATTAAACTTAATAAAAATTCATTCAATAAAATAATTTGTAAAACTTAATGTTGCGTAAATTGGAATGTTTTCTTTGTAAAATTAAAAATAAGGTATTTAATTAATAACTATTGTAACTATAGTGAAAAAATAGGGTGGTTTGCATTAATATTAGACATAACTGGTTGAAGACTGTACCACCTCAGTCAACCGTGACCATGGGACCTGTAAAGGGCCCGAAACGTCGGTTTGTTTGAAAAAACAAATATACGCGATTTAAATCCGGAAAAATAGTTTCATTTCCTATGTGTAACAATCGCGAAAACCTAAGAACTCGAGTCTGTGATGTGTTCAGGAACCGCATGTTACTAAAAAATTTTCTCACGCATGTCACACAACCTTAGCTTTTATTTTTAATTCACAGACAAACCAAAATCGGCCTCAACTATCATATCATTCGATATCAAGTAACGTGTGAAATTGTCAAAATTCTTTGCTATTGCCACATTGACTTACAATTATATGGACGTCGGGTCCGCGCTAAAAAGTGTCCGCACTTGTAAGGCGCTAAAATCGTATACAGAGCGCGACACTCCGCTTTAGTCTTCATTTGTTCTACTGACAGAGCGATACTGCGATGACATTACAATTTAAATTTCGAATAGGTTGACTTGGGACATTTTTTTCGTGGTTTTTGTATTAGACCCTTCGTCCATTTATTTGTAAGTCAATGTATTGCCATTTAATTTCGAATAAAACTTCATCTCGACTGATATTAGAATTGAGGTCCAATCAAATCGTTTTGTTTTTCAGAGATGTTCGAAATTTGGATGTAATAATAACATCGAATTCGATGTTTTTATTACACAGACATTTTCACAGATAAAAAATTTGTTCTAACAAAACAGCTTACCTTTATGCTGGTCGGATTTTGCGGTTTTTGAACACATTATAGAGAGTTTATGATATGTGTGTAGATAAAGATATTTTTGACTTTTCTATTTTGATATTTTTTTAATTCTAGTTCAGTGTACTTATTAGATATGACGTCACGATAGGAGCATAAGGGCAGAGCATAAGAGCAATATTAGTCCTCGTGCTACTACCAATAGGAACACCCAGTAGGAGGAAACGGCGAAAAATGCCTTATTTCGCTACTTACAAGAAAACGAAGGTACCTTATATCGCTGCAATATAGTAGCTTCTTTTTTGAAGCACTAAGTAAACATCTGGAATTCATCGCCGTTCGGCTGTTAATCGTTAAATGGCAACATATTCATAGAAAGTACAATATAAAATCAAAACGTAATGACTTGCAACAATGGGTATAGAACATCCAACGATATGCCAACAGAGTATAGTTTAAATTATATTAACAGTTCAGATTTGTCTTTAAATTAAAAACATCGAGTATATAACCAGAAATAAAGACGAAATGTCATTTAATTTGTTTGAAAACTATTCTGCCATATCATTACGGTGACAACTGCGCGATTGGCCAGCCCGACTTTGAAACAATTGACGGCACCCGTCAATTGTTTCACTTCAAATCGGCCACTTTAACTTGAGCTTTGCTATAATAGATGAAAATTGAAAAATTACATAATTTAATATTTAATTACACCGTTTTGTAATTTACACCGAATGCAACAGCCCCCTATAGTTACAGATATTACCTTTATTACAATAAATACAGGATATTTTTGGAATATACGGAGACGTACACACAGGTCAGATGTTGGCGCTGTACAATTTCAGCTTTCTAATTTGTGTTTTCGGCGCAAATTAAAGTTGATATTTAAAAGTGATAACAGTGCCATTTGACTGATGAGTTGCCAGGAATAGATGGCCCTTATTTCGTCTCCATTTCTGGTTATATAATCGAATCTTAGAAACTACGACCATTCATTATAAAGATTTCATAATGTTTCAAATTATAAGCAACCAGTCAAGTTCCATGCAATTCCCTTGACGTGGTAAAACAGAATTATTGTGTGTGAAGTAGTGTGTGTTATTATTATGAAATACACAAAGTTGAACGGGAATGGCAAGGCAAGATGATGAATTTTACTTTTTAAACATTAATTATTGCCTATGGCTGACTATTTGACATATAATAAAAGCGAGATGGAACTACATACTTAATCATATATGAAACAAATAGACGGTTGTAGTACTCCGGGAGCGTTCAAGCACTATTAACCGATTGTGTTCATAAGGAGAACAATTATATATTTAAAAAAAAAATATTATTGATTATACTTATTACGTTACATCGTAATATCGGATATTTTTCAATCATACTTTACAATTTGTCTTAAGACAAAATTACGTGGCATGTCTAGTCGTTATCACAGAAATGAAAAAGGTGAGATTGTAATTTGATAACATAATTGGAACGTATATCTAGTATTCGTACATTTTCAATGATTAATGCGAAGTCAAATTTGGCACTATTTAAAAGTACAATTTTCACTAAGCCAATAAAATTTTTAAAATACAATTTAAAAACTGCAATTACATTCATGCTAATAATTTATCAACAACACTCTGTAGATGGGAAACTCGAAATAAACTATTGAAAAAAGTTCAATAGTACCTAAATAGAACTTATTTATTGACAATTGTCTATACCCAAAAAGATAACAAATAATTATGAAACTGAAAATATAATAAAACTTAAACGAAATTTCTTAAAAATGTAAAAATGTAACAAAATCTCGACATTAAAAAAAATTAAAGCTTATTTTGACAGATGAGACCGCCATGTGCATGGCTAATGACACGTCATGATAGGATTTAACTATGAAAGAGAAGTTGAACGGATTTCGGATGGGGAACATAAACTGCATGTACAGTGAATTGTTTTAGTAAGGTCATAATACCAATTTGTCAGGCTATCCAACATATCCCAGAGGGTGGTCGCCCTGCGAATGTGCAGGGCGTACAAGACGGTGGCCTGCGCTGCCGCATGCGTCCTCGCCGGTACTCCGCCGTGGGACCTCGACGCCGAGGCCCTGGCGGAGGTCCGCACCTACCGGCGGGGAATGAGGGACCGAGGCGAGCGACCCGCTCCCCAAGAGGTGGAGCGGGAGCGCCGCCTCGCGGCGCAGCGCATGCGGGACCGGTGGAAACATGGCTTGGCGGATCCCCCCTATGGCGCTCGTACCATAGAGGCGATCCGCCTTGTCCTCGTAGAGTGGGTAAACTGGTCCCACGGGCCACTGTCGTACCACCTTGTGCAGATGCTGACCGGGCACGGCTGCTTCGGTCACTACCTGCACAAGGTGGCGAGGAGGGAACCGTCCCCGTCGTGCCACGAGTGCGGCGCTGCGGATGACACCACGCAGCACACCCTAGAGGTGTGTTGCCGGTGGGATGAGCAGCGCCGCACTCTGACGGGGACTGTAGGGCAGGACCTCTCGCTGCCGAGCGTGGTTGCCGCCATGCTCGATAGCGAGGAGTCCTGGGAGGCGGTGGCCTCCTTTTGCGCAGAGGTTATGCCGCAAAAGGAGGCCGCGGAGCGGGTGCGCGAGGACGCGTCGGACGCGCACCCGTTCCGGCGCAGACGTACGGGGAGAAGGCGAAGGCAGTTCGCTGCTCGCCTGATCCCCTAGTGAGACCAGCGGGCTCCGGACAGGGACTCCGGAGCCTGCATTGCACGGCCTCACTCGTCTGGGGGGCGGGTCGGAGGACAACCGACTCGCCCCTCCGTTGGCGCGGGAGCTCTGGCGTAAGCTAGGGCGGCCGGGCGGCGTCGTGGTGAATATTCACTGATCCCACGGCGCCGACTCAACCGGCGAGAGGGAAACCCGGGGGGGTTTTAGTGGGGTAGGCCCTCCAGTCTGGAGGGAGAGTCCCCACATAACCCCTGAGTCTCCCTGGGCTCAGGGGTATCCATAAAGATTTCCCCCGTCAAAAAAAAAAAAAAGCTATCCAATATATACAACTCATAGCAATCCTGTTTAAACCTGTAAGTTGGATTGCCTGTCAAATTCTTAATTGTATTTTAACAAAAATCGCGTTTAAATAGTGCCAAATTTTATTTTAACGCATTAATCAATGAAAATGTACGAATACAAAGTACGTTCCAATTGTGTTATCAAACGACAAACTCACCTTACTCATTTCAATAATAATGACTAGATATGACATGTAATTTTGTCTTACTACAAATTTGATAGAATGATTGCAAAGTTGTCGATATTACAAAATAACGTAATATAGTATAATAAAGGTACTAACTGTAAAGGTACTAAAAAAGTAAAGGTACTAACTGGGTGATAAATATGTAATACATTTGTCATAGATGGCGCTACGACTAAAAAGTCGTTGAAAGACCAAGTACAAAGACACGACGCAAGCACATAGAGAAATTCGTGAGGTCCGTTGGTTCGTTACGTGGCTTATTTGGTATAGCGTCTGGCACGGTTTGCAAGAAGACGTCGGTTCGAATCCGACCGGATCGAAGGAATTTTTTCTGAGTGTTTTTTCTGAGTGTTCGATCTTTGTATTAATAATTATAACAAACTAGTGGAGTAATTTCACAAAAAATAATTGAATATCAATTCAATAAAAATTTAATTAAATAATAAAATTATTTAAAAAATATAATTCTCATTTTGAACACAATCGGTACAGTAGTGCGTTCAACGCTCCCAAGGTACTACATCTGTCTATTTCTCTCATATGATTTATTAGGTAGTTCCATCTCGCTCTTGGTAAATGACAGCTAGCAAGCCAAAGACAATAATTAATGTTTAAAAAGTAAAACTCATCATCTAGCCACGCTGTTCCCGTTCAAATTTTGTGTAGGTCATGATGCGCATTTTTACCACGTCAAGTGAAGCTCATAGTAGACCTCCTGTACGTTATACAAGTTGTAACTTACGATTAGCGTCATTCTGTCTTGCAAGAAATCTTTTGGGAATCTCTTGGATATGTTTGATCCCATTTCTGCGTTTTTTCCGGGTATGAAAAAAAATCCATGTTTATTGAGACATAATTCCGTAACCTTAATATGACAAAGCCACATGTGATGATATAAAAAGACTGTAAACATAATCTAGATAAAACCAAGAATGGTAACTCCATACAAAAGTAGAAGCGGCTTCGACATTCACATAACTTTGCAGTGTACTAGCATTGTAGCTGGGATCGTCCCTCGCGCTATTCATTAAAAAGTTCGCTCAGTATTTAAAAAATGACATCAAGAACATCGAGTATATAACCAGAAATAGAGACGAATGCCACATCATTTCGATAACAACTGTGCTCCAATTGGCCAGCCCGAATTCGAAACAATTGACGGGTGTCAAATCGTTCAGTTTAACTAGAGCTTTACTACAATGGACGAAAATTGAAAAATTACATATTTAATTACCGATGAAATATGATCCGTTTGTTTAGTAATTAGATGTTTTGCTGTTTTTTCAAACCACCGAGTGGAACAGCATCCCATTGTTAGAGATATTATCTTTATTACAATAACTACAGAATATTTTTGGAATATACGGAGACGTACACACAGGTCAATTGTTGGCGCTATACAATTTCAGCTTTCTAATTTGTGATTTCAGCGCAAATGCGAGTTGATATTTAAATGTGATGTAAGGACCATTTGCCTGATCAGTTGACAGCGATAATTAGCCCTTCTTTCATCTCTATTCCTGGTTAAATACTCGATTTAGATAATCTTTTTGGTTGGCCCAAATTTAGAATTGACGTATTTAGTATAACAGACCCAGATAAAAATAAAGTGATTTATGAAAAAAGCACCTATTAATAATAACGCACACACTCAACATAGCCACGTACTAGGGAAAACCTGTGTCGTGGGCCATGGACACACACATAGACAACCACAAATTACACCCAAACTCACGAGAGAAATAAATGTAGGCCATACCAATATTTCTCCCGGGAATCGAACCTGGGACCTCTGCGTGGTAGTCCGGCATGATAACCGTTTGGCCACTGAGGCAGTTATTTACGTGACATGATAGATTACGTAGAAGGAGTAGATACAACTAAAAATAATTTTACTAATTATAATAATACGCTTTACCACAGATTACTTAACAGACTACGTAACAGGTACATCACTTTCATACAAAATCGAAAATACCTACTCTTTAATAGCCTACTAAATCTGACTAATGACACCAGGCGCTCACTACGAGGAGAAAGGAACCTAAGCACGCGCTCAGAGAGGTGAAAGTAACGTGACCCGCCGTATGCAGTCGAGCGGAACCAAGTGCTCATAAATGAAAGACTTGTATGAGTGTACCGCCGTCGCTTGTACCGACGTCGGTACATTCATCGCGTAACCTTGCGCGAGTGACGGTGCCCTGCTACTACTACCAATTGTCAACTAACAAAAACATATGATTTTTAGTGTTTTTGGTGTTTTCAGTTCAGACTGTTTTATGGTTACCACAATTTCAATATTTTTTTCCCCGAAATTCGACTAGGCTATTGATAAGGTATCATGTCATCTTGAAGTCGTGACTGTAATAAATTTTCTTTAATAGAAGTTTCAACAAAGAACAACAAAGGGAATTGTGTCGGTGGCAAACGCCTAACGAATTTACGCTTTGCGGATGACATACTTCTTTTTGTCCCAACGATACAGGTACTGCAACAGATGCCCCAAGAACTGAGATTGAGGTTGGACTTCAGATAAACCGTTCCAAAAGACAAATAATGTCTAACAGTACGAAAGGCAGGGTTGAGGTAGACGGGCAGGCAATCCAGTATGTCGATGAGTATATCTATCGGGCCAGTTAGCAAGCTTTGAAAACAGGCAAGATAAAGAAATCGGTAGTCGTATAGAGAACGCCTGGAAGAGCTACTGGTCCTTGAGTACTTGAAGAGTAATCTTCCTATGTCATTTAAACCCCAACTCATTCATAGGTGCATCCTGCCCATCTTAACCTACGGTGCACAGACATGGTCGCTGACTGAGTTCCAGAAGTCTTAACTCAAGATCTGCCAGAGGGCGATGGAACGCAGCAATCTGGGCTTCAAACGTATTGACCGAATACGCAACAGGTACAGTGCTGCGTTCGATGACTGGCATTGCTGATGCGGGGAGCAAAACAGCTAGGCTCAAGTGGGATTGGGCGGGCCACGATAGCCGGATGCAACCTGTGAGGTGGGCGAACGTTGTCACTGCTTGGGTGCCCGAGGATGGATAGATCTGAGGGGCACTGCCACTGCGCCCGTCACCCTGAGACATAAGTTGACAAGTCCCATGTGCCTGTAATTTAACACCAGATCCTTTACCCTACAAAACCGGAACACAGTAAGGTCAGTATGGGTAAGAGTAACTAGGGGGTACGTGTGAGACTGCTCTTCGTATCACGAAAAATAATTGACCTTTTCATTTAAGTGCCATCCCAAAGTTTCATTTAAGTATCCACTAGGGACTTTTTGAAATCAGAGTAAAAGAGAATAATTTCAGCACCCCTTTTATAGAGTGTAAACCAGGTCAAGAATCTTTTATTATATTTTGTTCTAAGCACCAATAAGGTGGCTTTTTAATTTCCTTTTAAAAGGATTTTTCACCTCTGTCTGAACCTCATAACGTTCTTTTTCTTAAATGCTTAAAACAACTTATGTAAGTAATATAGGCGACAAGTGCTTGCTTGTTGTACTTAGGTAACATAATCTTTGCATTTTACAATCAAAAATACTTAACTGTCGTGCATTAGCGATGTAGTCACACTTGCCTCGGTTCGTCGGGGAAGTGTGTCTAGAGTAGCGCTTTCAGTTTTAGACCTTAATAATAAATCATTAATGTTTAAATCTTATAAACCATATTATTTTCAGCTAATTATGAGTCTTATTAAATATTGCCTTCAGAAAAAGTTGAAAACTCAACCTTATATGAGTTGATTTTGATGTTCAAAATAAACTTCGTAAAAAGTATGTCACACTTACCCATACTGACCTTAATACTAATAAAATCAAGGAGCTCTACTGCTACTAATTATTATAAAACTAATGCTTTTTATTATTTGAAGGGAGAGTTTGAAAACCTTCGATTTCGCATAGGAAAAGTTCAGAATCGGAAATTATTATAGAATAAAATCTCACGAAATTCTTTCTGTCATCTACCATTTATCAAAAACTTAATTACTTTGTTTATAAATCATACGTATCAATAGGTATTTTGTAAACTTTATTATAATTGGGCCAGGGAAGTGTTACTCCTAATTAATGATGACTTCACACGGTCCGTGGTTTCACGGTGGACCGCGAACCACATTGATGCACTTTGTATAAGCACCGCGGAATATTATGGTTTTTATAATAAAACAAGACTGTACGTTTTTTTAGGATATTGAAGGATGTTATAAATATTTAAAATAATAAAATATACGCATAATTAACAATGTCGGTATTAATATTTTTTATTACAAATGAGAAAATATTTTGGTTAAAATATTTATTTCAATATTAGGTTATATTATGTATCATTGGTTTTGAGGGCAGTGAGTTAATGTGTTCTCACACCCAATTTGGTAACAGCTAAGATTTATAAAATCTAATCAAGACAGAGTAATGAATTGATTCAGTAATATAAGTAAACAACAGTCGACGGCGATAAAAAGATACTACAGTTTTCAATTTATAAAATATAGGCCTTCAATTCAGCATTCCTTTAAAATGAGAAAATATTAAAAAGATACCGACATGATTACATTTCAAGGCATTACAAAAAAAACACAAGTATCGTAAATTTCTATTCAATTGAATTTAAAATTAACCTTGAAAGTACACAAATTGAGGAAGAATGTTTATGTCTGCATCAGATATATTCAGTCTGGCAATTTGTTTTTATAGTTTTTGTATCTATGGAGTGAACAGTGTTGTATGTATAATGTAAAATTTGTTTAGATATATGTTCATAAAATGTACGCACTGTGGGACGAGCTCACAAGTGCTAATTGGTGTCGAGTGACGCGGCCCGCGATGTCACAGGCCGTGTGATGCCACTGTTAACCCATTACCTATTTAAATACCAATTACGCGAGCAGGCTGTGAGCAGAACTAGCCTGGATAATGATAATTAATAAAAAATGTTTTATGACTAAACTATAGATACAAGTATGCTATACTCTGCTACGGTCCACGTTATACTATTATTTTCTAGTAACGATCATATTTATACCAAAGTTGAAGAAAACGATTTTCTATATTAAATAAAATAAATAAATGTAAGTAATTGATAATCTTCGGTAGACCAACCAGCTTGTAAAGGATCATAGACAGACATGTCGTCCAGATCGATCTCGTCTACGTACAGCTTACGTGTGCCATATCCTTTACGCTAGAAAAACAAGGGCTGGTTACAGGCTGACAGCTAAAATGAGTCTTAAGCTTAGGGCGCGTGTACACGCTAAGAAAAATCGCCGGGTCTTTGCAAGAATTCGTGTCGTTTCTACACACGAACTGTGTACATTGTCTATCCCGACACGACGCGCTCTGCCGATATTGTATGGGGCGGAGTGAGGTGCATTGTTAGTAAGCGAACGTTTATGTGCGTGAACGGGTGTTGCTTAGTATTCAACATATACAACAATATATTTCTTCCCGCAGTCGGTAGTAAAACGACAGGTACCTGGAAGATTCGTAACTGACACATTTTACCCTACACACGTCTGTCCGAAAGCATTCGTATCGTATACATACTCATCATTTTCTCGTCTGCAACAGACACGACATATATTCGTTGCTAGATTCGAAAAAGTTCTTATCGTGTACAAGACATTCTCATCTTTTTTGTAGCAGACACGTCGAATTTCATAGTGTGTACACGCACTCTTAGGTAGCTGAGCGGAACAGGGAGGGGTAACAGTTGGGTGTGCTTCCAATGACGTGGAGGAGCGGACCGTGAATCAGCCAATCACAGTGCTCGAAATCTCTACTCCGCATCAGTGGAAACAGTGTAAGTGGAGCGGAGGGGACAGAACGGAGACTCGTGCGCTGCATTTTAGTTTAGTTAGCGATATTACGTCATAAATTTCACTCGTCAACGACATTGTATGTGAGTTAAAATGGATGAGAAGCTAATTGAAAATGTCAAACAATTTCCATGTTTATGGGATACAAATGCGAATGAAACCAAAGATGCGAATAAAAGCAATGTCCTTTTTGTTCCGAAAACATGACGTATTATCTCTCCAAGACATTGAATTTGGCTGATCGAAACATGGCTCAATGCAGTCAGTAGAAACGGACCCTAAGTTATGTCGCACTGCACAGAAGATTTTTCTATGGTGTTCACAAGTTGAAACAAAAAAAGACCCCTTACGCACCGCGCAGCTACCTCAGGAACTGACTCGGTTAAGCGATAAGTAGAGGTAATGCTCAATTGTTCGTAATGAATAATTATTATATTAGGTAATGCTCGATTGTTCGTAATTAATAATTATTATATTAAATACTCTCATAGTATTACATAATACTTACAACGGTTCCTAGTTTTGCCAATCTTTTGGCTTTTCTCTTGGCTTCCTTTTCAGCCAACTCTTTTTTAACTTCTAAAACAAAATAAAAAAAGCGCCACTTAATTTTTTGAACGCGACCACAGATAAGTGACGTTTAACTGTCACTCTGGCGGAACGTCATTATTTTTGAAAACGGCGACCATGATCGATGGAAACTCGTTTTTGGACGCGTGGCTGTCAACAGCGAAAATTAACGACGGATCGCATGACTCACGAAATCCATTCTACTCGCATTAAATTTGTACTACAATTAATTATTATTTGTTAAAAATTGATTAAAGCACAGTTTAAGGATTCCTGGTCTCATTTCATAGAAATATCTTGCCCTCATTACTTACGCATGATGGACAGGTTGGAGAAAGATCCCGGTCATCCTATAAAATTCGTCTTTTACATAATAGCTATTGTTCAAACAACCTTTGAACATTCCACTCAGCAGGCGAACGACCCAAAAATATACTCAAGAAATGCTTCAGCAGCACTACTCAGCAAGATGAACGACCGAAAACCAGACTGCTAGATTTATGCTTCAACGGCACTTCACACCGACGATAAACTTAGATTTTAGAGACATTTTTTATAACAATATGATGAATTGTTATGGCTGAACCTTTGAAACATACCTCAATGACGTAAAAATTCTACAAATAAGATTTTTGAAATATTTAGTAAGTCCAAGTATGGTTGTAAGGGAGACTATGATAAACTATTTACCAACTGTAATACTTCCTTCAAAAGCAAAAGTTGAATATTTGGCCGTTATTGAAAACTATTATACAACTGAATTTAAAATTAATGTAACGAACAAGTATACTATAGTAACACTAGGCGAGTACGTGAAAATAAATATGTATGTCCAAAAGTAAATAACTACGATTGTGGCAACATTGAAGAAAAAATGAAGATTTATACTTCTTGAAAGCATGTAAATTTAGCCAACAAACTGCATAGTTTGGTGAGAAATTGTATTATCCGCTCACGCGGTGCGCTCCTCCTACCGCAAAATGGCGGCTATTTGGTTTCGCAAATTAGAAAAGCATTCAGTTTAAATACAAGTTTTTATAAATAAAAATTATTATTTTGCATTGCTAAATAAATACCCTCCGTACTACCAACAAAAACATCTCAAATAAAATGCAGTAATACACCGCAAATCCTGCACTTAAAAAGCACTAATGAAATTTTTGGTGTACTTGGATAAATATGATAATATTCCATTTGAGTGGTTCTAACGTTTAGCATGAAATTACTCCTTAAAGTATAGTTTATAAACATTTATATTCAGGTATATATATATATACCTGATATAAATATAGGTAAACTTAAAAAACGCTACTTACGGTATGTTTTCAATAAATAAACACCGAAATCACCAGCCCTAACGACACACACGATTGTCGTGACGTATTTTTGAAGTTGTTTATTTTTTTTAAATGACAGACCCAGGCATTAAAAACTTTATGGTTTGCTAGAGTAGTTACCGAAATAGCAATTATTAGTATTAGTTCTTTTACCTGTTATAACTTCGATATCCGATAAATCGGTATAAAATCATCACCAGCACCTCTAGATGTGGTATGCGTCTACGGCTGCATGTATCGCGTGAGCGGATAAAACACTCCCTCACTATATTATAATAACAAACAGTCCAGACACTTATTCCAAAAGTATTAAGTGGTATTAAAATTGGTACATGATTTTGATTAACTGATAAAAGGTATCAAAATTTGCGATTAAAAATTAGGGTACATATATTACTGTTATTTTTAATTTTACTGCAATATAATACTACCGTAGCGAACTACGGCGATTGAGTAAGGAATGACAATGGAACGTAACAAAATCAGAATGGCGTGACAAAGGAATCAAAGAACGATTCAAAATTTAAGAACGAGTGGCCAGGAACTGGAGAAAGGCGATAAAAAGGTGGGATGACGATGTAGGAGGTCACATCGTCACAAATTCTAGCCTCTGCGAACATATCTCAGACACTACAGTGCCGAGGCAGCCCCAGCAGTCCTCTGAGGGCATTGTTGAATTGGACACGCAATGCACAAAAATATATTAGTTTTCTGCGTCGCGAATTCACGTTACGCCGATTTGCAGTTTTGCGTTTCGACCATAAGACCGTTAATTTAATAGTAAACACTTAAACGTATTTCCGCTGGAGGAAAACATCCTCAACCCTAATAATATATAAATCGGTATAAAATCATCACCGGCACCTCTGCGGCTGCATGTATCGCGTGGGCGGCTAAGTTCTCTTGCACGCCTTGTTTGTATGCAATAAAATAAAAAGAAAAAACCTAAGCCTTTTTGTTGTAGTACGGAGGGTATTTATTTAGCAATGCAGAATAATAATTTTTATTTTTAAAAACTTGTATTTAAACTGAATTCTTTTCTAATTTGCGAAACCAAATAGCCGCCATTTTGCGGTAGGATGAGCGCATCGCGAGAGCGGATAAGAAGCTCTAGTAATACTAAAAAGTTGAACATGTAGCTTATACGTCAAGTTCGATGAACTTTTGCACCTTGTACCAACCTTCCATCTGTTTTTCCTTCATTTCTTGGGAATAGAGTTTCATGCGCATTTTGTTTTGTGCCTTTTCTATTTGTTTATTCTCCTCTTTATGTTTCTTTCCTGGCGGCTGTGCCAGAATTCCTTCCTGTAACATTTAAACGACTTTAGGGTAAAACCATTGACTTACAATTATATGGACGTCGGGTCCGCGCTAAATAGTGTCCGAACTTATAGGGCGTTAAAATCGTATACAGAGAGTCATTCACGCTTTAGTCTTCGTTTGTTCGACTGACAGCGAAGCAAGCAAAATTAGACAGTACTGCGATGACATTACAATTTAAATTCAACGTTTTAGCTTTTTCATATTCCTTTACATGTCACTACGTTTAAATAGGTTGACTTGGGACATTTTTTTCGTGGTTTTTGTATTAGACCCGTCGTCCATTTATTTGTAAGTCAATGGGTAAAACTAAACAAAAATTACTTGGTGGTAAAAAACTAACTTTAACTAATCTGATCTAATATATCAGTAGCAGTAGAGCTCCTTGTGAAAGAGTTCGTCCAGGATAGTACTGCCATCTTACCTGTTTCTGCCGCCAAGCAGTAATGTCAGCTTTACTGTATAAGTTCGTACTGTGTACGCGTGCTGGTGACATTACAGGCACATGGGACTTGTCAACTTATATTTCAGGGTGACAGGCGCAGTGGCAGTGCCCCGATCTTTGGGATTTAAAGCTCTGAGGGGCATTGTAACTGTCATGGACAGGCATGTAGCTTACTATCAGGCATGCAACTTGTTCGCCCCGTCACTTGATAATATAAAAAAAAAATTAAACTTCTAGAGCTGGATTTCAATAGTCAGGCATAGTCTACCTTTTGTCAGTTTATCAAGGATCTTTACAATTTAAATCTCGGATAAAGCACTGCAACTGCCATGGTTAGGCGTGTCGCTTACCACCAGCCGCTCGACTTGTTCGTCCCACCATCGCCATTTGATAATCATAAAAAAATCCAGTCTATGTAAAATGAAGCTACCTTTATATACTTCGTTTCAATCCATTTTAAACAAAAAGTAAACAAAAGTCACTAACCCGATCGTAGACGGTTTAGTGATGACCAATTTTACTGCCAACTACAAATCAATTATTTATTTGAATGAATCGATTCGTTTAATTGAGTTATGCTAGCAGTTTTCATTATATGTAATGAAAACTGCTATAAAAGCATATTAATAATTTCCGAAGTCTTAATTTTAATACCTCCTTCAAATCCTTACACTTAGATACTCGTTCCATTGCGATTGAAATTTTCGATATACTAATCGATCACAAAAACTTTAATTGAATGAACTAAATGTTTTTTTTCCGTACAGCACTAAGCAACCATAGATTATTCATACTTCTTTGATTTAAAAATAACCTCACTCTTTGACTACCATTTTTCAAATGCGATTTTACGATGTTACTCAAATGAATATTGTTGGAAAACGTGATGAGACACATGAAGTCAAAATCTTCGAAATATATGTATTATTCCATTTATTGAGTAATTGCTTTAAAAATTCAACCAAACCGTTTTGCTTACATTTCGTTTAAAATGGGTTGGAACAGATTATAGTTTGGCATTTAGTAGCATTAGACCATTGATTGTTTTGATTTATATATAGCGCAGCTAGAGAATAACATCACTTCAGACATTAAGGCTTTTTGACGATACACAAAGGCGAAAAAAGTAATCATTGACTTTCCTCAGACAGATGTACTACCAGCAGCATTCTGCTGAAAGTGGTCCTGATATTGCTAATTTATTTGAAAGATTCTTTTTATCTGTCTATGTGAGTGCCAATTCGTCAACATATACACCAAACTGTGAACATTCCAATCTCGTATTATCCTCTGTTCACATCCTGGACAGGTCTATTATATCGACTCTTGACTCAATTGATATTGGAAAAGGCGCGGGCCCTGATGGGATTCCGCCTATTTTTGTAAAACGATGTTCTGTTGTGTTGATAAAGCCCTTGGGTATTGTATACAACAAATCTTTGAGCAGTGGTTGTTTTTGAGCAGATCTGTGGAAGTTCACTAAGATCGTGCCCGTACAAAAAGGAGGAGATAAAAAGTGTATTCATAATTGCTTTGCTAAGATTTTTGAAATCTATCACATTTATTCACATTTGAAGACAAGTTGTCAGTTCCTAGCAGCATGGATTTGTAAAATCTCGATCTTCCGCAACTATCTTTTAAGTTGTATGCATTACATAAGTTGTTCATTCGATCAATCTGGACCGGTACATTCAGTTTACACTGATTTTGCTAAAGTATTTGATTGCGTTGATCATGCTATACTTTGTATTAAAGCTGAGCGCTTAGGAATTCATGGTTCGCTTCTGATGTAGCTTCATTCATATCTGCAAACTCGTACTCAACTTGTAACAGTTTATGGTTTTGAGCCAGCTCCGTTTGCTGCGGATTCCGGCGTTCCGCAGGGATCAAACCTTGGTCCATTACTTTTTCTGATGTGTATAAATGACCTTTTGAGCCAGTTCAAGTGTGAGTGCCTAGCCTTTGTAGACGACGTAAAGATTTTTCGTAGAATACATTCTACTGATGATTTCGTCGCACTGCAGTCTGATAATAATGCTTTGACTCGTTGGTGTGTGGAAAACAATACGTTCCTTAACGGAGCCAAATGCCAGTTTATCACATATACGAAAAAGAAGAATTACATCCCGTCATCACATATGCCACGTGAAGTTCAGCTGGAACGTGTGAATATAGTACGTGATCTAGGCATTTGGTTCGAGTACACCTTTAGAGTACACTTCGACTCAATTGTTTTAAAAGCAAGGCGGACTATGGGTTTCCTATATAGACTTGCAAAACCTTCCAATCAAACACGAAGTATGATTTTTCTGTATGTGGGTCTTGTGAGAAGTATACTAGAGTACCTACTGTAGCATAATATGGTCACCTATTTCTAACAATCATATCAACAGGATAGAGACGACACAGAAACGCCTTGTTCGTAGTCTTGCTTCAAAATTGAGATTAAGAAAAAAATTAATAACATATACAGGCTTAACCAATTCAAACTAGATTCGCTTTGCGTGAGACGGCAAGTAACTGACCTCCTGATGTTGCACAAAATAGTAAATTCCAAATAAGATACTGATATCATAAACCATATTTGTATGCTGAAGGTCACTAATAGGTCTAATCATAGGCAACATTTGTTTTTGGTGCAATCTGCTAAAAATAGTGTATCACATAATAGCCCTCTCATACGTTTATGCAGGCAGTATAATGCTTTATGTAAAGATGCAAAGCACCAACACATTTGTAAAAATTATAAAAAGCCCGGAGTATAAGGAGGCACGTGAACACATCACAGAGCGAAGTAATTTTATTTAAAGTATATACACATTTTCTATTGTCTTAATTAGCCGTTTACAAAATGTTATTAGCATGTTGTGCGCGGTTGTTTGAGCTACAAATTTGTTTGTTTCTGGTTAGTGTCATAGTTTTACTTGTATTGTTTTACAAATTATTGCATCTTGTAACTGTGTTAAAATAAAAAAATAAATAAAAATAAAACTCATTTATGACAATAAAAGCTTCCACTTACTAGTTTAGCTTTGTACGTAATAGAGTCTGTGCCAGGTCTTTTTTGAGAGCTTTGATCAGCTGTTTCTCCCTCTTCGTCGTTCTCTTGTTCATCTTGTCTATATCGAACATGTTTCTTTCTGGGAGGCGCGTACGGTACTTTGTAACAATGCAAAACAATGATTTCAACTATTCATTTATTTATACATATAGATAACAGTCAGCCAGTATGGAAAGAATTGTGCTCAACTTAAAATGGAAAGAGAAAGTAAAACTAACCACAATGAAAAGCAAATCAAAGACTAAAAAAGTCGCACGCATAATAAAATAGCAAAAAATTTCTATATTAATTTGGTTGTAAGTAGAGCATAACCTATGTAGTGGACTATGCGGAACTAGGTACCGGTATCGCGGTACATTAAATATTTTGGTTATTTTATGACGGGTGTATTTTACAAGGTATTGCAATATTTATTTGAGTCACAATATAGTAACAATTTGTTCTGTTTTTTAAAATAACATGTAAAATTAGAAGATCAGATAATGCTCAACGATCTCTAAGAGTATTCATTCATAAGTGATATACCCGACGAGAAAAAAGCTGATCTACACTACAATGATGATATAAAAATGACAACGAACAAGACCATCGAATCAACCAAAATTATTCTATTAGAATGTATTTGTAAAGGTGGGTATCCATTACGTTCGCGCATCAACCATGCTCCGTGCACCTGCAGCCGCTCTAAGGCTGCCTTTCCACCAGAGATGTGCGAGAATGCGTGACGAGCTCTTTTGAGCCATGCGCGGGCCGGGTACGGTAGGGTGAGGGTAGCGGTGCCGATATGTCAGTGTCAGTTGGTCTAGTTTTCTACACCATTTTGCACACATTCCTCGCCCGCATTCCTTGCACACATTTCTCGCTATTTTGTATCTACAAATACTTAGCTCAGCTATCCCTTTTCCACCGGAGCTGCGCTTAGCGAGGCTAGGAAAATGAAGTATTCCTATTGGTGGATTTTTTCCTCGCACACCGCCTCGCTACGTCGCACATCTCTGGTGGAAAGGCAGCCTAAAAGAGACGTTACTCGCATCACTACAAGAAAACCGAGTGCTCCATTAGTTTCGCGCAACTACTCTGGTCCTCGCATGCGATCAGGAAGTTGATGATGATGGTAGTGATGCAATTGTAAAAACCTATACATACAATTCATCCTCGTAACTAGTTTTCACTAAAAATAACTTTTAAATATATTAAAATATGTAAAACAAAACAATAAAACAAAACCAAAAATAAATTATAAAACTCTGGATACAAAACAACGTAAACTGAAAGGAACTAAGTAACAAATGTCAAATATGTGAAGTTTTTCAAAATTCCTTGCAAAGAGAGTTATATAAATTACCACTTCAGACTGAAGGTATAACATAAGAGCCTATGCACACGACGTTATTTTATACGCGCCGATGACGCGCAGATAACGCGCGTTAACGCGATTCAAACGCGATGCAGTCGCAGCGAGTAAACCTTTGCACACGTTCACAAATTCAGAGGCGCCGTAAACGCGCGCCATCTGCACGTATACTCGCAGAGATAGTTTTAATTTTAATTTTGTTTGTTAAGTTTAGTAACACTCAGAATTGAAGCTACTAAAAAAATATAAAAGGACGTATACTGCGTCTTTTAAAAACATCCTAAAATAGATTTATCTGTACTAAATTATTACTATTCGTTTTTGGGCGTTTATTTTGCATGCATTGCACTAGATAGGAAATGTGAAAAGGATAAAAAATCAAAGCAAAAATTGTTTTCAACTGAAAATTCTAAGGGTCGTATTCTAGAACTTTACTCAACACTCAAGTCAGGACTTGAGTATTGCAGTGAGCACAAAAAATCATACTCAAGGCCTTACCATTAGGGTCGTATTTCCAGTGCTTGAAATCATACTCAAGTCTGCTCAAATCCTGACTTGAGCATTGAGTAGAGTTCTGGAATACGAGCATATTAATATCCAGTGGAGTACTTATTTATAAGCTTCTTGCTTGCAACGCGATGTTTGCTCGCGTTTGAATCGATGTAAACACAAGTAAAACGCGATACAGACGGGCTTCGAACGCGCTTTTGAATCGATACAAACGCAACAATATGCTTTTAAAACCTCTACGGCCGTAAACGCTCGCTCGTGAAACGCACGTCGTCCGCGCTTATATAATATGCCCTATGCATAGACTCTAAACGTGTCTTGTGAAGGATATAAGCACCCGGCAACTTTAAGTGAAAATTCTATTTTCATGCAATTGTTATGAAATCGACGCAGTCGCCGGTTGCCGCAACAGCAATTTGTATGAAAATACAATAATTCGCTTTTATACTAAAAATAATCGATGTGACAGTTCATAAAAATCTACACAATATAACATTGTAACGACGTACATTAATTTAAGTACGTATTTTATAAACTATTTTTGTAAATACATTTAATTAAGAGGGAGCAGAGGAAAAATTCCTAACCTTCGATTTGATTTTAGATGGGTGTATCCACTTTAAAGTTAAAAATAAAATATTGTATGAGTAACTACGCGATATATTTAAGCATAGACACTAATCAGAAACATAAAACAATAAAGTTTCCTCGATAGATAAAAATTACGAAATGACCTCTAATTTTCACATTTTTTCGATTTATCCTCGAAATGCTACAGGTTATTAGGACAAAAATTAGATAATTAATTATATTTATGCATGATCGACAACTGTCACTACGGATTTTTTTTTAATCCCTTTAGTTTTAGAGTTATTTCGCTAAAACGAATTCGGTACTTTTAATGCGCAAAATTCAACATCTCCTATCGCATGTCACGCAAACTTCAGACATATATTTGTTTCACAAATTTGGGCGGAGCCAACGTCAAAACTTTTTTGGCATGCTCCCTCTAAAAGTAAAAATAGCACCAAATCAATGTTTATTTGTAAGAAATGAGCGGAAATTTTTATTTTTAATTTACCCATTTTTTTGACAAACGTCAAATGAAGTGTCACAAGGATCGTCCTAGTTTGCGTTTAGTATAAGTGACGGTTTCTTTGTACCCAACACAAGACACACGTTTGCGCGGTCCCTAATAAAACAAGTATGGTAACTCTGTACAAACGTAGCAGCGGTGCTTGTGTGTGTGCACGCCCGCCGCGTGCTCTATACGGACTTACATATTCGCATAATCTCGCGATGTACTCACGTTGCATAAGGCGGGTCGTCACACGCGCCATTACTAGTAGAACTAGAGGTCTACAACGAAATACGATACGTTTTGGCGACTTTTCACTATTTTTTTTCTTCCGTGTGGCCTATACATACAGACCTAAAAATTATTCACCTAAATATTACTCAGTTATGAATAACTTAGTATTAACTGCTCACGCAATGCGCTCCTCCTACCGCAAAATGGCGGCTATTTGTTTTCGCAAAATAGAAATGGATTCAATTTAAATACAAGTTTTTATAAATAGAAATTATTATTCTGCATTGCTAAATAAATACTCTCCGTACTACCAACAAAAACATCTCAAATAAAATGCAGTAATACACCGCAAATCCTGCACTTAAAAAGCACTAATGAAATTTTTGGTGTACTTGGATAAATATGATAATATTCCGTTTGAGTGGTTCTAACGTTTACCATGAAATTACTCCTTAAAGAATAGTTTATAAACATTTATATTCAGGGTAAACTTAAAAAACGCTACTTACGGTATGTTTTCAACAAATAAACACCGAAATCACCAGCCCAAACAATAACTTTTTTTTTTCTTTCCATTAAGGAAAAGGCAAAGGTTTTACACCATACAGCCAAGTCTTGATACATTATTCTTTTCTGGTACATGAAGTTGAATTATGTTTCTGTAAATATGGCCGCCACAAAGAGGATAGGCAATTTGAGGCGGCGTGCTTGGAACGGGCCGATACGGGTATTTTTGTTCGAGATTCGTATAATTTCGCGTTTTAATCTTCGATTAAGGCACAATAGCACTATCCTATTCCACTTTAAACTAGATTTCACAAAATAATTGAAAGTCAAAATAAAAACGACACTTTTCCCTCCAAAAGGTCCAGAGCGAATCCCAAACAATAACACACACGATTGTCGTGACGTATTTTTGAAGTTGTTTATTTTTTTTAAATGACAGACCCAAGCATTAAAAACTTTATGGTTTTCTAGAGTAATTACCGAAATAGCAATTAATATTAGTTCTTTTACCTGTTATAACTTCGATATCCGGTAAATCGGTATAAAATCATCACCGGCACCTCTAGGTGTGGTATGCGTCTGCGGCTGTATGTATCGCGTGAGCGGTTATGAGTATTAGATATGTGACTCAATTGATTTAATAAACGTTTTTCTTTGTTTCTTTTTGTCTTCCTATTAGTAAAAGTCTTGAGAAGTACGTAATCGTGGTAGGCCTCACTGGGTTGGATACATGTAAAGGCGGCTTCCCACGGTCCATTAACTTCGAGAACTCTCGATACATGCCCGAATGGGTGTGTAATGAAAGATATAACAACGAATAATCTATTTTCACTTAGTTAAACCAACATTTCATATAATTTATAAGGATACAATTACTCGTTGAATATAATAAATAAAAGGTATAACAACAAAAGGTATAATTTTAGTGTGTATAATAAACCTTCAGTATAACAAACATTAGATACAAGAATTAGGTAACATAATGAACTAATGGTCTAAGTGTTACCAGTATAATGTATTAAATAATATAACATTTTAATCGTTGAAGCGCCTAAGTGAATAAAAATAACGTTTTTATACCAAGACTAGGATTTCTCATGGGAATTCCTACTGATTTCGCATCGAAATTTAGTATTGCCGTTTCGCCGGCCGCTGCCGCGCCACGCTCGCGTCACTCGCTCGGCTCGCGCATCGTTATGGTCGTAGTTCTAACCCGTCAATTGTTTAGAATTTGGGCTGGCCAATCGGAGTGCAGCTATCACCGTAATTTGGCACAATAGTTTTCGAATTAAATGACATTTCGTCTATATTTTTGGTTACATATACTCGATGTCCAGAACACATATTTGGACAAGTTCCCTTCCATAGAACACTGGCTCTCATCCACCACCACAACACTAGCGTAGCCGTAGCGAAATCCGAATACACAATGCTCGGTCCGCATGTTTTATTATAAGAAATATTAAAAGAGGAAATTAAAAGGCTTGTATCAAAAAGGTGGAATGATGATGAAGGAGATCGGCATCGGCACAATACTAATGAGATTATACTAGAGTTCATCAAAACGGTTATAATATTAAAACAACAAGTTTTAAAAGACATATTTAATATAAATAAAAAGATGCACAATTTATGTAATTTTCATAATAACAATCCCTCTATTGGTATAATTAATAAATGAAAGTTTATTGCTGGCACAACCGTTTTTGCACAAGGTGGCTTTGCCATTACCAATGGTCGGAAAAGGGTGTTCCATATACATAGATTTGGCTACAAAGAGCGATATGGAATTGTTAAAACCACCAAATAACTTTTAATTACTTAACTAAATTTTTATTGAATTTATATTCAATTATTTTTTGTGAAATTACTCCACTAGTTTGTTATAATTATTAATACAAAGATCGAACACTCAGAAAAAACACTCAGAAAATATTCCTTCGATCCGGTCGGATTCGAACCGACGTCTTCTTGCATACCGTGCCAGACGCTATATCAACTAAGCCACGGAACGAACCAACGGACCTCACGAATTTTTCTATGTGCTTGCGTCGTGTCTTTGTACTTGGTCTTTCAACGACTTTTTAGTCGTGGTGCCATCTATGAGAAATCTTTGACAGATTTATCACCCAGTTAGTACCTTTACAGCTACCAGTCCTGGCGAGAGATGTCGCTATTCACTGTATTAATTAAATTTTTATTGAATTGATATTCAATTATTTTTTGTGAAATTACTCAACTAGTATGTTATAATTATTAATACAAAGATCGAACACTCAGAAAAAATTCTTAATTAAATTTTTAATTACTTTTTTCGAATTCCGGATTTCCGGAAATGGTTTTATTGCTTTGTTGCCGTTCCGTCAAAGTGCGGTGCGCGATGAAGGGGCGGGGAGTGACCATTCATGTTAGTTTTTTATTTGCTTCGCTAAAAGGTCAATTATCTACTGCGTTTTTACATGGCATGGCAGAATTAGATACAATAAATATATACATAATTTGTGATGAAATAGATAAAACTGACATGTTAAAACAAACGACAAGAATCGGTCAATTGCGTAATCTAAATTACCTACCAAGGTATGTTCTTTCTCCATACAATAACTACTATGGAAAGCGTGTCTGGAGATATATGTTGCCATTACTGCTTAATAAATTGCCAAGTGAAGTTTTTGATAAACTTATAGGTAAACCGAAAAATTGTAAAACGATCCTTAAGCCAATTCATTTATCAAATTGTTGAAGTTATTAGTTCTTAAGTGTAAGTTGCGTAAATTATTAGACACGTATAAGTATTGGTCAGTAATTATTTTGTTAGACACCTGATAGCATGTGATGGCAGCGATACATAAATCTGTTAAAGGTTTTTATTCGCTGTCTTGTGTTCCTTTTTGTAAACTTTTAATTGTTAATAAAACAAAATACTTTAAAGTTCAACTTCGTCAGCAGTACTGATTTCCCGAATTCGAAAAGTAATTAATTAATATTTGGTGGTTAAGGATATTGTCGGACCTTGTAGCTATACCTGTATATGTATCTAAACATGTGGAACAGCTTTATCAGACCACTGGGCATTACATGGTGCCGTAATAAACCCAAGTTTGGCTATATTCGACCCCTCCTACGTAAAGTATCGTATGTCGAAATTGCCAAGTTTACAGGGAAGCGTTTTAAAATTTTGAATTCACTGAAATGAGCATAACACTATTTCTCATTTTTATTCGGCAAAACTCAAACAGAGTATTATAAAATCTTAGACATCGGTTAGATGAACAACCACAATTTATTTTATTATTTTACAATTTAATTTAGCATTTCTATGCTAAGTCACGTGTTATACTCATTTCAGTGAATTCAAAACTTAACGCTTCCCTGTAAACTTGGCAATTTCGACATACAATACTTTACGTAGGAAGAGTCGATATGATGGTTCTACAAAAACGGGAGAATATTAGAGAAATACATATATATACACCAATATTACGTACGCAGATCTATTTGTTTTTAGCTTTGCGTCGAAAAGCCACTAGAAAAAATTTTGTACTAATCAAATAGATATGTAAAATATAACACGCGTTAAGGCGATATTACACATGGCTGTTCGTATTCTCTATTGGGTGTATTAAAACTTTCGCTTCGACAAATATTTGACATTCGATATGCATTCGATAAAGAATTTACAAATATGATCGTTTACACATGGAGCCAAATAAGTAGTTAAAATAACAAATTTGATCATAGTTTGGACGGAACCAACAACGCGTGACGTGTTTGGTGTATTTGTCAAACATGGCAAATATTTTGCCACATATAGATACTACATATTTGCATGGTGATTGTTTGCCAGATATATCAAATACAAAAATTCAAATAGCCATGTGGAGTGACATAAGTCGAGGTTTGGTACTTAACCTCTAGGATTTTTCGTTGTTTATCTATTGTATATATTTTAATTCATCGTCGTGTATAATAAATTCCTCATGTGTGGCGTATCTTCTTATTTCCAACTCTTTTTTAGATCTCTGCTCCACCAAGGGCGATTTATTAGGAACGATTGCGTAAAATAATATTACAACGAACATAAAAACAAGCTGGAATAAAAGATAGCGTTTCAAAAAACGAATTCCGTTAAATATCTTCAACCTTAGAATAATAACGCATAGAATGATAGTTTCATATCAAACGAACTGTCACAAGTGAGGCAAAAATCAAATTCATGTAGGCCAGTTTTAGTAGTAGGTTAATTTTCGGTTTTAGTGAATATTTATATAAAAATACAAGTTGAAACGCGTTACTTCCTTGTGGAATGTGATGTTAGTATGTATTTTATGTTTGTCTGACGTATTTTTACACTCATTTACCGCACATTTCGTCATTTTTAGCTAAATTTCTTGATCTGTTCGCGGTGCAAGTTGACCTTGAGCACCGAAGGCCCGCCCGCTCGTGTAGGCCCTTTTGGCGCGCTTCAATTTGCCTCACTTAGCGTGTGCGGACTAGGTTTCTATGCGTTATTATTCTAAGTCTTCAACCTTATAAGAGCGTTTGTGCCCGCTTTTTTCTATATCTATGGTTTGTGCACTACGTCCGATTCGTACCAGTTCCGAATTCGAGAAATGACGGTCCGAAATGTCACACGGACCATTTTATCTCTAGATGTACAAGAAATATTCATATTTCCTCGAATTCGATTGGGACTTTCGGTTTTCTAGATTTATGTAGTCTCGGATTTGGAATGAATACGAATGGGATGCAGTGCACAACCGCGCTAACTATCACAATGATCAAAGAAGCATAAAGTAAAAATTCCTTCGATACGACTGGACACTAGCTAGGGGAAATCGAGTTTGGAAGTTCCCGGGGTAAGTTATTCCCTCAGCAATAACTATTCAAAGAAATGATATAGAAATACATGTGAAGCGCGTTGTTAATACGTCAGGTGACACGTCTTGCCGGCAGCCATTTCAGTTACACCGGCAATGACGGAAGTGTGGCTAAGTGACTGTGAGTGGAGCTGTCAAAACATCATGTAGGGGAGACCCGGGGTTGAAAGTTCCCAGGGTAAGTTGTTCCCTCAGCAATAACTTTGCAAGGAAAAGATATAGCAGTAGGTACTTGTGAAGCGCGTCGTTAAAGCGTAAGGTGACACGGTGACACTTCAGCCATTTCAGTTACTCCGGCAATAACGGAAGTGGGGCTATGTGACAATGTGCGTGGACCTGTCAAAACATTTTAAATTTTTCTAGTGTAAACATTTTGGTGTGTCTTTGTTTATTATGGACCGATTCTTATATAACTTTTCTAAATTACAGTGACATTAGTAAGGAATCTTATTGTTTGAGTATTTTTTTACCGATTCTGTTACTTTGCCAGTATGTCCGTCTTTGTATAATAATTTGGAGCTATAAGTTCCTCCCTCGAGGGTTGTTCTTAGGAACAACTTCCCCAATTGACCGATTACAGTGCAACCAGCGTACCTCACGAATTTTTCTATGTTTGTTGTCCTTTCTTTGCATTTGGTTTTTCAACGATTTTTAACCGTAGCGCCATCTATGAGAAATCTATGAAAGTATTTCGTCGCGCAGTTAGATACCCTTACAGATAGATCTTTGTATTAATAATTATAACAAACAAGTGTAGTAATTTCACACAACAAATAATTGAATATTAATTCAATAATTTAAATACAGTGAATAGCGACATCTCTAGCCGAGGCTGGTAGCTGTAAAGGTATCTAACTTGGTGACGAAATACTTTCATAGATTTCTCATAGATGCGCAAGCCATTGAAAAACCAAATACAAAGATACGACAACAAGCACTTAGAAAAATTCGTCCACTGATTCGTTTCGTGGCTTAGTTGGTAAATTTCATAATACTCACGCTGTATTTAATTATATCGAAGATCTTCGACATTTCAATAATGTAATGGTTGTATGTTGACACCAGTTGAGTCTCATTGATGGTGATATTAAGCCATGTGTAAGGAAAACTCAAGTATTGATTCTCTTGGGAGGGATGGTATCTATATTTAGCTAAAAATTAAAATACTACATTAGCTAAAACTTAAAACACCATTCTAGTAGCAGTAGAGCTCCTTGTGAATTTGTTCGTCCAGGTAAATACTGCTAACTTATCAATTTCTACTGCCAAGCTGTAATGTGAGCATTATGCAAGGAGGCTGGTGAAATTACAGGCACATGGGACTTGTCAACGATGTTTCTTCCTTTATCGTACCAAAGGACGGGACGAACCAGTCGTGCGCCTGATGGTCAGCTACACGCCTATCCATGACAGTTGCAATGCCACTCAAGAGCTTTAAATTGTAAATATCTGAAGGGCACTGCCACTGCACCTGTCACACTGAGACATAAGTTGATAAGTACCACTGTAATTTCACCAGCACCCTTACCTTTGAAAACCGGAATACAGCAATGCTCACATTAGTGCCTGACGCTGCTCTGCTGCTATTTGAACAGACTAGTAAATCTGCGCGAGAACACGCTGAACTGATGTGTCGTTCGTTCTTGCCAGCGAGGACGGTCATGACTTATGGAATGTGAAGTTTTCCCTGATGAATTTGGAAGTAGCCACCACGAGACGTAAGTTGACGAGTCCCATGTGCCTGTGATCACCAGCACTCTAACCTTTCAAAACAGTACTTCTCTACGCGAACTCTTTCACAAGCTCGACTGCTACTAAAAAAACTATTAAAAAGTATTGCAGAGTTACCTGGATATAAGCAATAATTTGCTTGGAACTTCTTCGACATCGATTCGTAAGCTTTCTTGCTACTGTTAAACATTGAGAAGTTCTGTAGCAAAAAAGAAAAATGAGACATAAGCGTTCATGAAATATCGAATCCAATTCGAATGTTCTTGTTACTTTATTTAATCATTGTAGTGGCCACACACTATTTACATTTAACAAAAAGAAAACGCCAACAAATGACGTTACATACGTTTCGTTCGAAATTTTATTATGAAAATATGGATTTGGTTTGAATGAATAAAGGCCCATTTAGATGGAGAGTTTAGCGCTCGCTTCGTAGCGAAAAATCGTACGCGATTATCGTAAGCATTCAACATTCAGGCAAGAACTAAAATCTTGCCTACGATTATATCATACGTTTTCGAGTTGTCTAACCACATTTTTTCAAGTTCGTACTATTATCGTACAAATCGGTTCGAACCGTTTTGAGTTCGAGAATTACCATTCGAGTTCAGTGATTACTGTGGTATTGACTATGGATATATCAAATTGACGTAAAAATTCATTTCACTGTATAGAAATACACGTTTTTTTTTATAACATTTCTTAACGCAAAATATATTTTTTTATTTCTCGTTTTATTAATTATTGTCTTAGAAAAGCAGTAATAATCAGAACACCCTCGCGCACTGCACGCACGCATGGTAGAAACGACTGGCACAAATATTTTTTTGCTTTCAAGTTCTGTTTATACGGAGACGTTCAATATTCAAAAGCGAGGCGATTATCGCTCACGTAGAAGGGCGATAATCGCGTATGTTTAGACAAGGAAAGTCTTTTATATTCTTTCGATTATCGTATCTTCGAGGCGAGAAAGTCTCTCCATCTAAATGGGCCTTAAGTCTGCGAGCACGTCATGGATAAGACATTCAAATGAAGTACGACAAGCCCCAAGTCCTTTTCAAAAGAAGTCCGCTAGATACCCAGGATGCTGCGAAGGCCATTTAAATTAAAAAAAACATCTATTACACATTATTAATTAATGATAAATTTATAATGTTAAAATAAAATGAAATAATTTGTAAAACATATGTAGCGTAAATTGTAATGTTTTGAAAAGAAACAAAAATAAGATATTTAAATAATTACGAAAAATAGGTTTTTAGATGTCACTGAGTGCTGCTGCAGAATAGTTTTGTTTAAGAGAGCATGCCAAAAAAGTTTTGACGTTGGCTCCGCCCAAATTTGTGAAGCAAATATATGTCTGAAGTTCGCGTGACATGCGACAGGAGATGTTGAATTTTGCGCATTAAAAGTACCAAATTCGTTTTAGCGGAATAACTCTAAAACTAAAGAGATTAAAAAAAGTCCGTAGTCACAGTTCTCGATCATGCATAAATATAATTAATTATCTAATTTTTGTCCTAATAACCTGTAGCATTTCGAGGATGAATCGAAAAAATATGAAAATTAGAGGTCATTTCGTGATTTTTATCTATCGAGGAAATTTTATTGTTTTATGTTTCTGATTAGTGTCTATGCTTGAATATATCGTGTAAAATATATTACTCATACAATATTTTATTTTTAACTTTAAAGTGGATATACCCCCCTAAAATCAAATCGAAGATTAGGAATTTTTACTCTGCTCCCTCTTAAGAGTTCATATAACCTCAAAAGGCTTTGGTTAGTACAGTGATTACTATAGGGTGTAAAACACGATTACTACAACTTTTCACTACAGAAAAAAACTGACTGAACTCAACTGACCTGCATAGAACACATAGTATACGATATATACTTTTTTCAAATGGCTTTAATATCGTTAAAAAAATCTGAAAGAATGCCAGCGACTGCCGCTCGACCCAAGTAAAATTAACCGTTTTAGTACGGGAAAAAATTAAATTCGAGCTGAAGTTGAGAACTCTTAAGATTTTAAACGACAAACGAACGTGAGGGCGCTCTCTCACCGGGAGCATTCGCCTGTAATTAACAGTTCAAATTCGAGCATTACATCAGTTACAAATTGTAACATTACAGTAGTGCGTCAGAACACCGGTGATACAATTTGTAGCATCAATGCGCAGCACATGACAATGATGGTATCGCAGCGCAGGCTCAGCGACCTGGACGGCAGCAGCGGCGTGAACGCACCTATACGTGATATCGTTTGTTGCTTTCGAGGTTAAATTTAAAAAAGGTCTGAGACAAAGAGAAAACCCCAGGGTTTCTATGAGAGATAAGTTTAAAGAGATTAACAATCTTACACCAACGTCACAGTACATTTATGAAAATGTTATTTATCCGCTCACGCGATGCGCTCATCCTACTGCAAAATGGCGGCTATTTAGTTTCGCAAATTAGAAAAGGATTCAGTTTAAATACAAGTTTTTATAAATAAAAAATATTATTCTGCATTGCTAAATAAATACCCTCCGTACTACAACAAAAACATCTCAAATAAAATGCAGTAATACACCGCAAATCCTGCACTTAAAAAGCACTGATGAAATGTGTACTTGGGTAAATATTCAGGGTAAACTTAAAAAACGCTACTTACGGTATGTTTTCAATAAATAAACACCGAAATCACAAGCGCAAACAATAACACACACGATTGTCGTGACGTATTTTTGAAGTTGTTTATTTTTTTTAAATGACATACCCAGGCATTAAAAACTTTATGGTTTGCTAGAGTAGTTACCGAAATAGCAATTAATATTAGTTTTTTTACCTGTTATAACTTCGATATCCGATAAATCGGTATAAAATCATCACCGGCACCTCTAGGTGTGGTATGCGTCTACGGCTACATGTGCCGCGTGAGCGGTTATGTTAAGAAAAACAATTATTTTGTTATAAAAAATTGTGACATACATAACATTAATACGAGATATAAAAATAAACCCGCTGTTCTTGACAGTCGTCTTAATAAGTCTTAAATCCATTTAAGGGGCAATGTATACGCTTCTATAATAAGATTCCGATTGATATTCAAAATTCGCCATTTACGAGGCTTAAAACTATTGTGAAACAAAAACTTTATAATGAAGGTTATTCTACAATTTCTGCGTACTTGGATGACAAAATTCAGGTATTCTCGTTCTAAGATATTTAAATTAAATATTGGAATAATAAATATATTGAAATGTATATTTACAAAGAGCAATCCCTAGAGTTTACAGCTCATTCTTCTCAGGGGATTCTGCCTTATGAATGAACAGTAGAGTTAAATCAGTATGACGATTTCAAGTGTACTCTGCTTACTTAGTAATAACATTTGACCTTGCCTTGACCCTATTACGGCGGGGTATTTCAACGCTACCCTACAATTTAGGAGGTGAAGTGTGGGGGGATCACCCCTCGCGACCCGCAACTCGCGCGCTTAAAATTAATATGAATAAAATAAGAACAGGTGAAGAAAGTATCAGTATTGTAACGCAATGCTCAAAATCGAGACTTGGATTGTTACATTGCAGGCGAATGCTCCTGTTGAGGGAGCACCTTTAAGGATGTTTCCTCGTGCTGTAAAGTGCGTTTGCAAAAACACATTCAAAGTACTACCATAGTGAAAGAGCAAATAGGGCAACTCTAGCTTGTTCAGCGAATGTCTACATTTCACTCGGAGCGTAGGGTACCCCCAGCTACAATTAACTGGTGGTAAGCGACACGCTTATTCATAACAGTTTGCAATGCCATTCAGAGCGTGAAATCGCAAAGATCTTATGGGCACCGCTACTGCGGTCGTCGCCGTGAGACATAAGTTGACAAGTCACACGTGTTTGTAACTTCACCAGCACCCTTAGGGCGCGTTTATTCGACACGAATTTCATCGCGCAGCGACCGCGTGCGTCTAACTGTCATGGCAATATACGTTCTATTTGTTTAGCTTTTACGTTTTGATTTAAACGAGCATCACGGGCACACGGGCGAGACTGGCTTGAATTTGGTCTATGTCTAATGTTGTTGCCTAGTAAATAGATTTCAGATTCGTCATTAATGCACATGGAGGTGTGGTAACTGGGTGGTTACCCTTCTAAATCATAACGCAGTAATGCCCACATGAGTGTTTGGCGGCAGAAATATGTAAGGTGGCATACTTCCCTGGACGAACTCTTACACAAGGAGCTCCACAGCTACTAAATCTAACATGTTACTATTTCATTTGTACATAGGGGTTGTGAACATAATTTGTAAAAATTAAGGTGATTGTGTCCTTAGTGCGGGGCAATGAGTGTGTGCGTTATTTGTTATTTAACTGCCTCCGTCGCCGAACGGTTACCATGCCGGATTGCCACGCAGAGCTCCCAGGTTCGATTCCCGGGCCGGGAGAAATATTTGTATGGCCTACATTTAGTTCTCTCGTGAGTTTGGGTGTAATTTGTGGTTGTCTATGTTTGTGTCTATGGCACCCGCGACACAGGGTTCCCTAGTACGGGGCTATGTTGAATCTGTGCGTTATTAATTTATACAAATCAAAATTAAAATAGAGTAATTCTGATACTACCTTAGTATTCAATGGTATTTTCCAGAAGATATCGTTTCGTGCATTGTTTATAGCCTGCAAAATAATAGAAATACAGAGTGATTACCATTCTAAATCTAATTATGTGACAATAAATGTCGCTAACGGCAAAAGAAAACGTGATAAAAGCTAGAAAATTATTTAGAGGAGACATTGTCCCAGTTTAATGGATTGGTGATAAAGATAAATAAATAAATATTAGACAACGTTACATACTAACTAAACTAACGGACACCTCATATATTAAAGAGTCTATACTACCTCTAATGACTTTGGTTGATTCCGCACAACACTGAAAGTGTTGAATCTATCACTTTGGATAAAATATATAGTAAAATTCTTAGAATAATAACGCATAGAAACCTAGTCCGCACACGATAAGTGAGGCAAATTGAAGCGCTCCTAAAGGGCCTACACGAGCGGGCGGGCCTTCAGTGCTCAAGGTCAACTTGCACCGCGAACAGCTCAAGAATTTTAGCTAAAAATGACGAAATGTGCGGTAAATGAGTGTAAAAATACGTCCGACAAACATAAAATAGATACTAACATCACTTTCCACAAGGAAGTAACGCGTTTCAACTTGTATTTTTATATAAATATTCACTAAACCGAAAATTAACCTACTATTAAAACTAGCCTACATGAATTCGATTTTTGCCTCACTTGTGACAGTTCGTTTGATATGAAACTATCATTCTATGCGTTATTATTCTAAGGTAAAATTGAGGATATGCACTAATTACTATACGGTGTGAAAACACGGTTCCTAAAAATTTTTACGAATTTACCGCGAATTTTTACAAGAAAACTGCTGTATGCAATAGATACTTAATATCTACCAATGATTATTTTCATATCAACTGAACTATATAGGACACGTATAGTATACGATATATCAAATGGCTTTAATTACATTTGTAAAAAAATAAATTCTAAAATAAAGCCAGTGATCGTCCCTGCCGCTCGACCCAGGCAAAATGAACCGTATATAGGAAAAACATGAATTCGAGCTGAGGTAGTATAGAGTCTTAGGTTCGTATTCCAGAACTCTACTCAATACTCAAGTCAGGGCTTGAGTATTGCAGTGAGCACTGAAGATCATACTCAAGTCCTTGCCATTAGGGTCGTATTTCCAGTGCTTGAAATCATACTCAAGTCTGCTCAAATACTGACTTGAGCATTGAGTAGAGTTCTAGAATACGACTCTTAAATTTGTGAGTTACCCGTTAGTTTTTAACCGACTTCAAAAAAGGAGGAGGTTCTCAATTCGACTGCATCATTGACTTACAATTATATGGACGTCGGGTCCGCGCTAAAAAGTGTCCGAACTTATAAGGCGTTAAAATCGTATACAGAGCGTCATTCACGCTGTAGTCTTCGTTTGTTCGACTGACAGCGAAGCAAGCAAAATTAGACAGTACTGCGATGACATTACAATTTAAATTCAACGTTTTAGCTTTTTCATATTCCTTTACATGTCACTACGTTTAAATAGGTTGACTTGGGACATTATTTTCGTGGTTTTTGTATTAGACCCGTCGTCCATTTATTTGTAAGTCAATGGACTGCATGTTTTTTTTTTGTATGTATATTACGCGATAACTCTGGTATTTGTGAACCGATTTTCAGGATTCTTTTCGTATTCATATTCATTTATTTGCATTTCACATGGATGATAAACTTAAGGGTCTAGGACAGTTACAATGGAATTTAAATACATTGCAAGCTTGAACGTAGTTAATTAGTTTAGATAATTAATTAAATTATAGATTCTATAATTATTAAACATAATTATTACACAATATTTTTATCTTAAAATTAATTAAATTATTATTTTTATAATTATTAAACATTTTTATTACTATTACATTTAATTTCACTTCACTTCTTTTGATGAAAAGAGGGTACCTCCTTAGTGGTCCCATTTAATTTTAAAGAAAATCATCCACCTCTTAGGTTGGCTGTTCACGCATGAAGAGTCATTTTTATAAATAGCGCCTAAATTTTATTATAAGGAGCAATTATTTTAATGGTTGATTTTGTTATTCTCCAATTCAAGGCGTTTTTGTCTCTCAATGTACTTTGAGTAGTGAGAACCGATTTTTATTATCTCCTGTGTCAAGTCTCGTGTAGTGGCGAACTAGGGGATGAATCCGGGTTTGCTCACTTTCCGGTAACCGATTTCAATAAATCTTGGTAATTTAATATTTCCACGTACTTTTGAAGTCGGTTTGTTTTAATACTCTGTACTGAGATTATCTATTTCAAACTTCACATAGGTTACTCCGGTCCCAAATTAAGTAACTAAAACACTTGTGTTATAGAAATCGGAAACAGCGACGGTACAACACCCGAGGCAAAAGATTTTCTACATTGACCCGGCTGGGGATCGAACCCGGGACCTCAGAGATGGAAACCGGTGTGCAAGCCACTCGATCAGAGCTTTAAAGCACAAAGATCTGAGGGGTACTGTCGCCTTGACACATAAGTTGATAAGTCTCACGTGCCTGTAATTTCACCAGCACCCTTACCCTTCAAAACCGGAA